CTGAATGGTGAGCGTTTTAGAACAACCTCAATATCACAGACTGAGTAACTTGTTCTCACACATAAAGGGCCTGGTACAAACAAAATGTTCTGCACGACAAACATGAGTGGATTGAAGTCAACGCCCTCACCTTCAATGCTTGCTGGTCAGTAACTCCACCCTCCCTTTTTGTGATGTTAGGCTCATATGAGCTTACTTTTTGGATATATACCTTACCTCACACATTGCTCTGTGTTTCACATCCCGTCGGAAAAGACCGTTTCTATAAGTACCATTTTACAAGCTTATCAGACAGCTACGAACTATTGACTGTGGGTAAGGCTTCAATGCAATGCTGTAATTTCCAAGGTTTTTGTTTTGTTTCAGCTTCTTTGTAATTTGGGGAGAATAGAATGTAATTAAGTATACTTCTGGTGGTATGCAAGTTTCGATAACATCGATGTCTACTGCATGGTTGGTTATATAATTATTACAACTGGTTTGTCTGTCGGTCATTGCACAATTACTGCAACTGGGAGTCGCACTGATTGGAATTTTAACTGTATTATCTGGTTAATTACCACTACATTTGTTTATGGTCGGAATTAAACCAACATATTTAAAAGAAAAGGCATTATTCACATTGGAGCTACTCCCTTCTGAATTTTAAGAGATTCAGGAGATTCGGAGAGATTCACTTGCATCTTCAGATGTATTAAATTTGAATAATATCGGTGAATACTTATCAGGGTGATATTTTTTTTAGTCTTGTGCACACACATGGTACATGTGTTGTGTTGCTGGCTTCAGGCAGCTTGGACTGGATATTTTGGGAACATTTGTTCGGCATATTCTTTCGAACACTTCTAAAGCCACAAAATCCACGAAATTATTTGTATCGTTCACTTTATTTAGGATTTCAGCGAGGTTAGGGTTGACAAGATACTTCAGTGAACTAAGAATGCCCACGTCAACCTGCAACTTTTGTATGCCATCCGTATGGTTGTGGTGACCATTATCACCACTGTTTACTAAGACGGCCCTCAGAATGTCGAAGACGGCGAGAAATGCCATAAGCTTGTTTACTTGTGGACAAATAGTGTAGCGCAGGTCGTTAATAGTGTTGTAAATCGCATAAGTGATAGTGTTAGATCGTGTTCTTTTCCTTTATTTGACTAGATATTTGGAGGCAGAAGCTTTTGGATTTTTCTAGGGCTTGATTGTGGAATGATTAGTAGCAGACCGACTTCAGAAAGTGTTGAGACGAAAACAGAGGTGGAAAAGTCACAGCAGAGGGCCAATGGTAATTCAGAAGTCGAGACCTTTGTTTGAAAGAAGTGCGAGAATTTCGTGAGCGTTTATGATGATGACAAATGCAAGATGAAAAAATAACAGGAAGATCGTAGTGGAGATGTAGTACATAAATATATGTTCAGATGTAAAAGAGAACAAAAATGTGCATGCTGGACACATTTTAACGTCGAGATTTTATGGAAAGATATACCCTATATATATAAGCGATCTGGAACTGTCAATATTCACATTTATGTTTATGTTGGCCTAACATAAACTTGAAAATCTTCTTCGTGAAGATTTGTTTATGTGGGCAATATAATACGGAGATATCATTCGTCACCAGATTTTGATTAAAATCCCTTTGGGATATCTCATACACCTCACTTAAATTCGTATTCAACTGATAATGATGTGCAAGATATAAGATATATGTCACGTAATTTAGAAGTAGACGCGGTAGTGACAACGAAATCTAGACCTCCGGAATTTAGTCAGGCCTACCTTGATTTATGATTCGCAGATCTAGAACATTATTCTTGTAGTGACTATACTAAACCAGAAGGTAATAAATACACAGATTTATTGTCTGTGTTCCCTCGATCAACTGGAAAAAAAATCGTCCCGCAGAATTACTTGAGACTTATCAAATACAAGTACACATTTGTTGGGAGGTCAGGTAACAGTGACTCACTGACACTAGTCTCCAAGTGAGATCAGAATAAAGGTGAGGAATAATGCTACTATAACTGCAAGATTCAGTACCGTAGAGAATTTCAGCTGTGGCGCTATGTAGTCTTACTAACATTCGAATTCTGATTACAAATCAACTAAATGGAACCAACAACGAATAAAAAAGTACCAAATAGTGAAGACGAATGGCTCTTGAATAAATTTCAACTGATGAGCAGGATTGACTAAGAGACCTTTGTTTTGTGTTAAACAGATCATGCTGCTAGTGGAAATAGTAGTAAATATGATCCTAACCTTGATTTGGAGTCTAATACGCGGTAAGTTTGCTGATATATATATATATATACATGATTTTAATTAGGTCATAAGTTTTGAATAGTTTAACGACTCATTCCTATCTCCAACTAAGTTGTGACTCAAAAAGTATTTGGTTTTGCACTGTTAGACATAGCCGAATATTTTGCCTATGAATAATAAACTTGAAATTGTCAGCCTACATGTTCACTTGCACTTTTAACTTGATTTCGGTTTTGTAACATGTTAAATTCGACCGTCTCCGTCCTACTTTATGGCAGTGAAACATGACCGATAAGAGTAGAGGATATTCGTAGGCTACTAGTATTCGATCATAGGTGTCTTCGAAGCATTGCTTGAATATCCTGGGACCACCGGGTAAGTAGTGCAGCTGTTAGGAAACGGGTACTAGGTAAGGATGGCAAATCGATTGATGAAGTAGTGAAACTTCATCAGTTGAGATGGCTGGGACACGTGTTACGTATGCCCAACCACCGACTGCCCCGACGTGCGGTGTTTTATGGTGTAGGAGTAGGTTGGAAGAAAGTTGGGGGTGGCCAGACCAAAACGTCGTGCAAATCCATGAAGTCACTGACAAGTGGACTGAGCCATACTGGTAGGTGTAGACTACCTGGTTGGGATCCGCGAGATGATAACAACCGATGGTTAGAGACCTTGGATGACATGGATGAAAATCGTTTGCAATGGTGAAGGTGCATCCACTCTTTGTGTTCTCCTAAATTATAATCTTCTGAATTCTTCATGTCTATTTTTTCTCTTTCCAAATTTATCTCACCGTATTATACTCCTTCAATAACATCTTCAAACCCTTCTTTCACATAATACTTATACTCTTACTACTTCTACCACTATGGGATTTGAATGGACAACTGTATCGCTGTGCTAATGTGGTATGGCAACTCGAAGTGATGTACGTATGTACGAAGTTCCACTTTGTTTCTGACTGGTATATTTTTTCCGTTGTCTGAAGTTCAGCTTTGATGATTGTATTACTTTTCTGGTTAGCGTTTTTTTAGCGAGTTACCTTTTCTACGGGATGGGAACGCTAACCCCATGCCCAACCCTCTTCCTTTATCCGGGTTTGGGACCAGCAGTAAATCTAGAAGAGCTACAGGCGGGGTTTTAATGATTGTATGGTTAGGACTAATACCGCCATATAATACTCGCGGGATGAGAGACGATCAAGTCACCCTAAGGCAAACAGTTTTGGCACACAAATCGAATACGGTGACTAGCGAACCACACTTCAACACTTGGTCGCCAATATAAGGAGATGAACTGTGGAAAAACCTGATATACAAAGTAAAACAAACATAACAGAACGAATATGTGTAACGAACATGACTTTTAGGCATACGTACATACATTTAGCGATTTAAAGCTATTGTTACTAATCAGAAGAAATTAAACGTCAGGTAAATAACTGAATTATAAAAATGGCACTCGCTATAATCGCGTATGATCCTTTTTGGGAGTTTTTTATGATTAATGATGGTAAATCCTCAAAATACCTACTTTATTCATTTGTCCTTCTTGATCTCTTCATTCAATATAATAACCTATGAAAATAACTGTTGAACCGTAGTCTGAGAAAAAAGTTTGTGCAGGACTTATTAACCATGCTTTTTTATTCAGAATCCCCCTTATTTTAAACGAAAACTAATCCACACAAACCTTTGCCATCTACAACGAACCTACTTTAACGCACTAAACCCACTTAAAAATGTCGGTGTATATCAGAAAACATCGATGAAAAAGAGGATAACTATCAAAAATGACAGCACTTTAATCAGTTGTCATTTAATTTCGAAATGGAACACCGATTGATGGCTTTTTAGGCATTTTGTTAAATTTTTAGTACCGATTTGTAACAAAATAAGGTGGAACTTACCATAAATGAGTCAATTGTATTGAATGAATTTACAACCGAGAACTGAGAACTGACTGCAATATTCTATAGTTTTCTTCTCAGCCAGAGAGAAATCATTTTACAAACCTTATGCCTCGTCGATTTTAATGACAAACAGTTATTTCAGATCGTTTCAGACAGGCCTTTACAATTTCCTTCTAAAAACCACTTTCGTCATATTAGATGCTAATCACAGGTCACAATGTTCATTGAGTATGTATGAAAGATTTTTCCGTTTGCATGTATACCCTGCCTTATATTGTTGTAAGTGATTCTGGACCTAATAGAACATTTAATTAACACTGAAAACGAATGGTTAACAGGATATGACGGTCCACAAACCCCCAAAACAAATAGTTCTGTAAGTCATCGACATTTGATCCTAACCTCATAAATTTTCTGGACACATCTAGCTGAAGGCTCTCGGTCATGCATCCTCACCAGATCACGAGTGGGCACTCCGTGCTACGCATCCCGTGCAACTAACAGCTAGTTTAAACCAGACAGCCTTCCATATGTGTCTTCGAACATATTCAACTGTGACTTCTTATATGACTAGGTTGGCATACTTTGGTTGTAAAGGTGTTACGTGTAAAGGCGTTGTCAAAACCCGAACACTTGTTTCATTATTACGTATATTGCGTGCTTCCAACGTATAAGCTTTGTATCTGAAAAGAGCAGATCACTGCCTCTAGCACCCAGGGAACCATAGTTTTTGAAAACAAGTTGATGAAATATTTACATTTCACTATCAACTAAATCTTCCAAGGGATTGAAATTTGGACCACCTCACTCAAAGTGCTTTTGAGGCGGCCTTCTCCGGGTTTCGTTCCCGATGGCCAACAGTAGTTCTGTTGGGGAGACTAAGTTTATATATTATATCGATGAAGAAGAAACTCCTTACCTTGTTAAGCTCAACATTGCTCCAGAAAAAGTCACTCTTGGAGATTTCAAGAATGCTCTAAATAGACCGCATTCGAAATTTTTCTTTAAATCATTGGACGATGACTTCGGGTTAGTAATTCCTTGAATATATTCGATGTATTTTCATTATTGTTGTATCTTGATCGCTACTGAGAATTTACGACTTGGTACTTATGCAATATTTCTGATAATTAATTGATATCGCGAAAAAACGTCGTTGCAAATGCGTATGAACTTTTTGCTACCAATTTATTACGTCTATTTATAGGATAATTAGCGGAAGGAAAATACTTTTCATTACTCACATATATGCTGCATACTGAGAGCCTTTTTAGTACCTGCCTGTCTATGGGCAGCAGTCAGTATGACGTCAATAGTTTACTTAACCATTCGTTGATCTATATGAGATACTGTCATTGTATTGTTACGTAAAATAAGTCCAAAAGAACCAGCTCTTCCACTCATTCTGTAAATATTGTGGAACGATATTTGGATAGGTTAAGTAATTCCCTCTGGATTTTTGTCTTAGACGAGGATTTGTTAAGTCTAACGTTCAAGGATAGATTACTGTTTTCCCGGATTGTTATCTAATATGAGTAAACCCTCAGCGTTGTGTCAGTCTTTGATATCCAAGCATATGGTCGCTTGTTTAGGGTACCTGTTTATTTTGGGAATAATTTGCTCCACAACAACAGGAAGCGGTCATTTGTATTCAAATCAAATCTCGGCCACCGGTCTGAAATGCCTGTCAGTATGTTGAGAATTAGTGTAACAGACAACACATTTCTACTCCGTATATCCAGCATCGTCACTATAAGGCTGTTATGTATTCCTCATGTCAATAAAGCAATCTAAATGAGTGTTCATTCCTTGAAATGTATATGCGAAAAAGTATTAGCTCCCGGGAAATTCTGTCACGAAAGAAAACAGACATGCTGGAAAGAACACCTAATGTAACCGGTTACAGCTCTTCAGAATGTACCCGAAAAATTCTTTCAGTCAGATATTTCTTCGCCTTTGAGTAGCATATTACAATAATGCGTTCCGATTGGTAGAGGTAAACATATTCCGCGCCATGTACTCTCTTAGAAATATTTTGTTCTTTTGTTTCACTCGTTCATTTCGTAACATATTCCTTTTTTGATTTTCGTCACTAACATTATCCCCCTATTTATTTTCTCTCACTGCTTATGTGAAACGTAGTAACGAGTAGGTTTACGTCCAAGATGTTTTTTAATGCAGTCAGTCACGCTTCCTTGCTGCTTTCTTTCATTTCTTTTAATCCCTAATTTTCTTGTAATTCCTAGGGTTGTTAAGGAGGAAATATTCGAAGACAACGCTCCACTCCCTTGTTTTAATGGCCGTGTTGTTTCTTGGGTATGTATACACATATTTGTTAATTTTTATTTCATTGATGTTTTTGGAGATACTGTATATAGTTATTTCCTCGGTGTTGATATATTTCTTTCATGACAAAGTTAGGGAAGTATTCAGACTGGGCAACCTTACCATACCTCACTGTTGGTTAGGAATAAGGAAAAAAGTGGTTATTAAGAGAGTTTATCCAAGCCTGGTATGTGGTAAATATCAAACCAACTCTTATAACTTGAGTTTTCGTAGCATATTCAACTTCCAAATTTACCTCAGTTACCATTTCATGTGGTTTGATACACACCATCAAGTCGTTCTCCGCTCCTCTGTCAAAATTTTGTAGTGTGTGAACATAGTAAAGACGTGGGCTATAAGTTTATACACTTGATACAATTAGTAAGATATTTAGACTGTCTGTACTTGCTTTTGTCTGGCAAAAAGTATTCTGACACTACATAAGTGAAAACTTATGTATCTATTGTGCTAGATACCTTATTTTTCACATCTCCATAACTCCATTCCTAGGTATATTGGTAAGATTGTTAGCATACCTATCGTGAATGTTACACTTGTGCTGCAACCCTTGGTTCCATTTGATATTAGTTGTTGGTTGACTGTTATGAGAAGTACTCGTTGATTTTTGGTGCAATCAAATTTTGTAATGCTGCTTTTTATAATTATCAGAGGATTTCCGATGATAATGGTATCAGTATATATAGAATTCACTGTGCTGCTTTTAAAGGTGTTATAACCTGCTTTATAAGCTTGTCTTGTACACTAAGTTACAGTTTGACTTTGTTTTTCTGCTCTCCATTTTAGTTGGTGACTACAGATGAAAGTATAGCATCTGATCCAGGTGTTCTCAGCCCCTCCGTTGAACCAAACACTAGTGTAAATAGTAGTAAATATGATCCTAACCTTGATTTGGAGTCTAATACGCGGTAAGTTTGCTGATATATATATATATATATATATATATATACATGATTTTAATTAGGTCATAAGTTTTGAATAGTTTAACGACTCATTCCTATCTCCAACTAAGTTGTGACTCAAAAAGTATTTGGTTTTGCACTGTTAGACATAGCCGAATATTTTGCCTATGAATAATAAACTTGAAATTGTCAGCCTACATGTTCACTTGCACTTTTAACTTGATTTCGGTTTTGTAACATGTTAAATTCGACCGTCTCCGTCCTACTTTATGGCAGTGAAACATGACCGATAAGAGTAGAGGATATTCGTAGGCTACTAGTATTCGATCATAGGTGTCTTCGAAGCATTGCTTGAATATCCTGGGACCACCGGGTAAGTAGTGCAGCTGTTAGGAAACGGGTACTAGGTAAGGATGGCAAATCGATTGATGAAGTAGTGAAACTTCATCAGTTGAGATGGCTGGGACACGTGTTACGTATGCCCAACCACCGACTGCCCCGACGTGCGGTGTTTTATGGTGTAGGAGTAGGTTGGAAGAAAGTTGGGGGTGGCCAGACCAAAACGTCGTGCAAATCCATGAAGTCACTGACAAGTGGACTGAGCCATACTGGTAGGTGTAGACTACCTGGTTGGGATCCGCGAGATGATAACAACCGATGGTTAGAGACCTTGGATGACATGGATGAAAATCGTTTGCAATGGTGAAGGTGCATCCACTCTTTGTGTTCTCCTAAATTATAATCTTCTGAATTCTTCATGTCTATTTTTTCTCTTTCCAAATTTATCTCACCGTATTATACTCCTTCAATAACATCTTCAAACCCTTCTTTCACATAATACTTATACTCTTACTACTTCTACCACTATGGGATTTGAATGGACAACTGTATCGCTGTGCTAATGTGGTATGGCAACTCGAAGTGATGTACGTATGTACGAAGTTCTACGTTGTGACTGACTGACTAACTGAAATTCGACCGTTAACTTTATTCTGTTTTAAGAGCGTTGATATGGAAATTTATTTAAGTCAAAAGTATCTTATGCATCCTTGAGACATCAAGTATTTGTCAAGCATAAATTAACAGACACGTGAATTCGTATTCCTCACGACTAATGTGTAATGAATAGAAATTCCGAGATATCCAAAATTGATATGTAGATTTTCACTGGATTTATGGTCATTCTTTTTTTAGTAGTATGAATGAAGTGATCTTCAAATGATGAGTTCTATTGTTCTCATTTTGTGTTACCATGGGTAGGTACACCTATCACAGTATCTTCATATACTTATACCCAAAAATTAAAAACTAGTGCCGAAATTGTCTATTTACATGCTTAATTCATGAACTAAAGTGTTACTTCTGTCATAAATCCTAATGCTTCGGCAATACTTGTCGCTAGGATGGTAAATTATGTTTCTTGTGTTTACACTTCAATACTTTCGGCTTAAATTTACACATTTCGATTATGATTTTCAAATTATCTGCTAGTTTTTCGTTATTTATAATCTTGATCTAAATATAAACTGATAAATAATTATCTATAAAATCTACTTTAAAACTTTTTTAGAAGCAACAACGAATGCAAAGTCAACTCTTGTACACTTCAGTCACATACGACCGCTGCTCCAGCTGATTCTACTTCTGCAAACCTTGGACATGGAGGAAATATTGGACAAAATTACGATACAGAAACGGAATCTGTACATAGTGCTAACCAAGGTCAGTTTTTGTTGTCAGTCAATATCTACTTGTTACGTCATTTTCTAATGGTGGATAAATTTTTAACAAGGCAAACCTCTTGTAGATGATTAAAGTTTTATGCACAGTACAGTACTGTGAAGATTGTTGAGTTTTAATTGAGATTATGAACCGATAAATTTTAGACCTCCCTTGAAAACCCGGAAGCACTGGACGGCTGCTTCGTCCTAGTGTGGGACTTCTCAGCAGTGTGCATTCACGGTCCCGTAAGTGGGACTCAAACCCAGGTCTCGCGCGCGATCGCTCAACATCTAGACCATTGAGCTGGCATACAACGGTGCCTAGCTTCAGCCAACCCACTATATTACGAAACCGTCTATTGTTTTCAATGGGTAACTCCCTAACCCTTGACACAGTTGAACTACTCGTTTCGGTTTGTAAATGCTACAACTAGTGATTATTTCTATCTTAACTATCTAGTATTTATTGAACACGACTCTTCCTAAATCAGAACTAGAATTGGGCGGGAATAATCTAAATTCTAATTAACCCGGGCAACAAAAGATAGCATTATAAACGTTTGAGTTTATATGAAATCATGAAAGTCTTCTGGTATCTTATCGATTCATTCTCTCATACTGATTATTTTGGTAATGCACCAATCAGCGTAATCCGAATGTGTCCGGCTTGAAGATACAATAGTCAGGATTCTACTCTGTCACTAATAATGATCATATAACATTTAAGCCACTAGCTCTATTATTAGAAGGATTCTAAGGATTATTTACATCCCGTTATTTTGTTGCCTGGATATATTGTCCAACTGATTAATTATCCCTGAACGATTAAATATGTATTATGTTTTATGAAGTGTTAAGTCATAGAGCGTATAATAATTAAATATTGATCACGTATTATCCTGTGGGAGCTTATTCTTCTGCTAACATTATAGTGTCTTATTAAAGAGTATATCTTTATGATACTTGAGCTTGTTACCCCTCGTGGAGGAGCATATGCCACCCACCAGCACTCCTTACCAAACTCTATCCTTGACAATCCTTCCCAGTTGCTACTTATCCTATGTCTACTTCCAATTCTCAACGCAGTATATGCTTTGGCGTTCCTCTTTTCTGTTTCCCTTCAGGATTGATAGCTAGTGCTTGCTTTGTGATGTGGTTTGATGTATATTCTATCCACTTCCAACGCTTCTTCTAATTTCCTCTCCAGGCGGAAGTTGGTTTGTTCTCTCTTAAAATAGGTTGTTCCTGATGGTATCTGACAAACGGACATTGAGTGTCTTGCGTTGACAATTGTTTGTAAATACTTGTACTTTTTTGATGATGGTTGTGGTAGTTCTCGAAGACTCAGCTCCATACAGTAGAACTGTCTTGACGTTCGTATTGAAGATTGTGACTTCGATGTTGGTTGATAGTTGTTTTGAGTTCTATATGTTATTCGGCTGTATGAATGCAGTCCTTGCTTTGCCAATACTTGCCATTACGTCTGCATCAGATCCTCCTTGTCCATCGATGATACTGCCCAGATGGGTGCGTGAAAGTTTTCACCTGTTCCAGAATTTCCACATCAAGTGTGATTGGGTTGGAATTCTTCGTGTTGTATTTGAGGATGTTGCTTTTTCCCTTGTGTATGTTGAGGCCTACTGACGCAGATGCTTCCGTTACACTGGTTGTCTTGACCTTCATTAGTTCATGTGTATGGGACAGAAGGACTAGATCCTCTTTGAAGTTTGAATCGTCTAGTTGCATGCAAGCTGTCCATTGTATTCCGTACTTCTTCTGGGATGTGAAGGTGTTCATAATCCACTCAACCATGAGTAGAAAAAGAAAAGGGAAGAGTAAAAAGCCTTGTGTGACACTGGTCCTCACTTGGAATATTTTAGTCAACTGTCCTCCATACACGACTTTGGAGTTTCGTCTGTTATTCCGGATGGTGCCAGATGTTTTCCATTCCGACCTTGCCGTTTAGGTCTCCCATCGGGATACTCAGTTTCTTTCTTGAGCACTTCGCTATGATCGATTACAGTCTCTCGTAAAACTGATCTTTATTGTCTTCATTGTTATCATTAGTGAGTGCATAACATTGGATAACAGTCATTGCGATTTCCTCCGTTTTGAAGGATGCTTTGATGAACCTGTGTCCATGAGATTCCCATCCTATAAGTGCCTAACATGCTTCTTTGGACAGAATAAAAGCAACTCTCTGAGTATGTGGATCATTTTCTTCTTCGTGGTCGGAGTACAACACCATCTCTCCCAAATCTAATATTTTCTGTCCAGTGTGGATCCAATGGGTTTCACTTATTCCGAGTGCTAACTAGTTGTATCTCCTCGTTTCTGCAGCCATTCGACTGGTCCACCCAGTCACATACATTTTCCGGACATCCAATGTACCTGTAACAATTGTTGCTCTGGTTGTTATAATGGACATTGGTCTTGTGACTTCCGAAGAATTTCGGTTTCCATCATGAGGCATCATTTTTATTCTAAATGTAGATCTCTCAACTCTCAGGGCAGAGTATTAGTGGTCGAAATTGCTTTTTTCTGGCTAGCGATTTTTTAGCAAGGTTGTTTTTTACAGGATGGGGTTGCTGACCCAATATCCGATTCTCCTCTTTTTCCCGGGATTGTTACCGGCAGTAATCCTGGAAAGAGATACAGGCAGAGCTTGATAGATAGATGAGAGAAGACTGTTAAATCTAGATAAAACAACTATTTCTATTGGGGTTTGCGATTGGCTTACGGCAACTTCTATTTACGAATAATTGAAGAGTTTAATGCGAACGAGCATAAAAATGAACTCGAATAGACCGTAAATATGCGACATAATACTTCCACTGTTTTCCGCTAATGCAGGAATAAGATGAAGCTTCGAAAAAAACTTGATATTCCAGCATAATAAGTTAGTATCATTCAACTCAGTATGTATAGTAACTATGGCGTGACTTCCAACCTTCCAGTCAGTCAACTACAAAGTCGGACCAAGGACATATATCAGTCAGTCAGCTACAACGTAGGACCAGGCACATTTATGCATCGGTACAAGTTGCCATTACTCGTTAGCACAACAAGATCAACACCGGATTCATAGAAGTAGTGAATTTAGTGGTGGTAGTAGTATATAAATTATAGGTTGTATATAAGGATATAGTACAGGAAGGGAGATATGAACCAATTTTAGTCTCAAGGTTTAAAGGAAGATAAAGAGTGTATACACCTACGCCATTGTGATCGATTCTGAGCCATGTCACCTAGAGTCTCCAACCACTGGTTACGATAGTCACGCGGACCCCAACCAGGTAGTCTGCATCTGTCAACATGGCTCAGACTAGAAGTTAGTGACTTCAAGCACTGATGCCACGTTTTGGTTTGGCCGACCCTAACTTTCTTCCAACCATCCTCTACACTAGTCAGCATAGCGCGTCGTGGTAATCGGTGTTCAGGCATACGTAACACATGGCCCAACCATCTCAGTCGATGAAGATTCATCACCTCATCAACTGATTTACCATCATTCCCTAATACCCTGTGTCTAACCTCACTGTTACTTACCCGATGATCCCAGCAGATGCGAGCAATATTTCTAAGGCATCTGTGGTCAAATACTAGTAACCTACGAGTATCTTCTACTCTTAATGGCCATGTTTCACAACCGTAAAGTAGAACAGAGCGAACTGATGCACAGTATACTCGTCCCTTAATTGATAGACGGATATTTCGTCTTCACCATAGGTGACGTAAGTTGGCAAAAGCCAAACGAGCTTTTTGAATCCGTGCTGATATTTCGTCAGACACCAACCCATTAGGGCTGATCAGACTTCCAAGATAAGTGAAGTTGTCGACGCGTTCGACTATTTCACTCCCTATCCTTAGTTCGGGTGTTGACGCAGGCCAGTCCTGGAGTAACAATTTACATTTGGATGGGGAGAATCGCATCCCAAACATCCTGGCATTATTACTGAGTTCCAACAGAAGACTCTGCATTTTGCCAGCATCTTCACCAAACAGGACTATGTCATCTGCGTATTCTAAGTCGCTTAGTGGTGTCCCTGGTAGGAGATCAATTCCTGTAAATTCAGTCGAAGAGAGTGTTATTTCCAGCAACAGGTCTATAATGAAGTTAAACAAAAATGGGGATAGTGGACAGCCTTGTCGGACACCACTTGAGGTTGTAAAATCATATGACAGTTCGCCATAAGCTCTCACTCGACTGGTAGTGTTCGAGTAAAGAGCCTTCACAAGGTTTATGTACTTCTCAGGTACACCTTTCAAAGACAGACACTGCCGCAGAACCTCTCGGTCTACAGAGTCAAATGCTGCTTTCAAGTCAAGAAAAACTATCATTGTCGGACGCCGATAAGCGTGTCTGTGCTCTAAAACTTGACGAATGGTGAATATGTGGTCGATACAGCCACGACCAGGTCTGAAGCCAGCCTGATTTTCTCGTGTTTGCAGTTCACGAGTCTTAGTTAGGCGCCCGATAATTATTGAGGCTAGTATTTTAGATGCTATGTTGGTCAGACTGATCCCTCTATGGTTATCGCAGGATGATTTTGACCCCTTTTTATATATTGGGACAATCAGTGATTGTGACCAGTCGGATGGGATTACATCCGTCTCCCAGATTTTAGCCAGAATATTAGTCAACCTAATCGCTAAAATTGGACCACCGTATTTAAAAACCTCTGGAACCAATCCATCAAGACCAGCTGCTCTTCCCCGTTTCAGATTACCTATAGCCTTTTGAACTTCAAGTAGGGTCGGGGGGCCTACTTCAATGTTCCATTCAGGTTTTCTGGGAATAGTGGGTAGTTGTGCAGTAGCTGAAGGCCAGCTAAACTGCTCCTTAAAGTGTTCCGCCCATCGTTCTAAACGTTTGGGTTGAGAGGAGATAAGGGTTCCGTCTTTTTCGGAGATTGTCTCACTTACACTTGACTTCTTAATTCCGGTTTCTTTTATTAGTCTGAATAGTTGCCTGGTGTTGCGTACAGCCGCTGCCTTTTCCATCTCTTTTGCTTTCGTTGCCCACCACTGCTCACGATCGTTCCTTAGACTTTTAGTTAACCTAGATCTAATTTCTTTACGCTTTTCGTCATGTTCAGAGCCTGATGGGATGAATTTACGCGAATCCATCAGTGAAATAGACTTAGAAGAAATCCATTGGTTTTTTGGAGCCCTATGGTTTAAATAACTAATAGATGTTACTGCTGTTTCCACAGCTGTTCGTATGTCTTTCCAAGCAGCATCTGTGTCAGTCTCGTTTACAGAACTGCCTAGATGTGAACTCAGTTGTTTCTGGAATTCGCATTTGGCTTTCTCGTCCTCCAGTTCAATCCTAATGGGTCTTCTTAGTGTAGTTTTCCTGCGTCCATTGAGGCGCAGACAAATGCGCGCTCGTATTAAAGCGTGATCAGAGTTTAAACAAGTATTCCAATACGAGCGACAATCTTCTATTGAGCCTCTCCAACGATGACTGATGACAATATGGTCTATTTGAGTCCATCGTTGGTTTGGTGCAGGTGGTCGCCATGTTAGACGATGTCTCTCCTTATGCTTAAAATTAGTGCTTGCTAAAAATAAACGATTGTCTGAGCATAGTTGCAACAGACGATCACCATTATCGGTTCGTTGAACCGGAATACTAAAACACCCACCTAAATGTCTTTCTGTTTGATTCAAGCTGCCTACCTGGGCATTAAAGTCACCCGCTACGACTACTATGTCTGAGCGCTTAGCTTTCTGAAGAAGCTCAAAGAGCTTTCTGTAAAAGTCATCTTTCACTTCATCATGGCTGCAGTCAGTGGGAGCGTAGGCAGAAACGACGAAAAGGCAACGACGTGTGTCCCTATCCTTCCGAGTTCTTACGGAGCCATTTAGCCGGACAGCACACAGGCGACTGTTAACGGGGATCCATTCTAATAGTGCCTGTTCTGCCCTTGTACTTAGTGCTATGCCTACACCTGCAAGCCCACGAGAACTAGCCAACGGGTCGCCAGATACACGGAGGGTGCATTTCGTTGGCTTTCCTTTTTGGTGAGGTGAGGTCAAGTGAATGACCACACTAGGATCCTGTATGCGTAATTCGGAGACACAGCATACATCAATGGTACGAGATTCTAGGGTTTTAGCTAAGGAGGCCTGTTGACCGATTTGACTTAAATTACGTACGTTGAAGGCTCCAATGTGTAGTTTGGAGCGAGGTTTAAGTAGACCTGGGACAGCGTTTCGCGCACTAGAATCGTTGGCCATGGTGACACTTGAGGAGGAAACCGAGAGAGGAAGTTTAGTGTTGAAAGTCAAGGTAGAAGGAATAGTAGGAATTGAAGGAGATTGATTATGAATACAGTGGTCTTGAGTGCTGTTAGAGGTATGAGGGCAGTTATCACTTCCCGGTTGCCCACACCGTGGAAGGGTTCTTCTAGGGGTACCTGAAAAGGAAATTGGGTTAGAAGTGGTCTTAATGACCTGAGAGCGTGGCTGCAGTGCCCAAGGGACAACTGCTTGAGGTCGGTCACACACGACCTTTTTGTGGGTAGTTTTTGTGTTAGCTCCGTTCTTCAAAAAAAACCTTACCGCCGGAGACGGATATCCGTGGGATAAGGCGAGGTGTGCATTTTTAGGGTCGACCTTTTTTAACCCCACCCCTCCTTGTGGGAAGGCAGCATCGCTGTCATGCTGGTTGTCTGAAGGAAACACCTTACTGCCTTCACACCTCTGTACAGTCGGCAGTACGACTTCGCCTTCGGACCTTGGGTTTGCTGCTTTTAGTCTCACCGCTCTTCAACCGACCTGTCTGGCATGGTAGGACCTCGAGGAACGATTGTTCCAGCCAGTATAGCTGGATTGCTTCATCACGATAGGCAAACCCGACCACCACGTCAAGGTAGCAGCAGACGGTCTGGAAGGACATATATGCATCGGTCCAAGTTGCCACACCTCATTAGCACAACAAGATGAACTCCAAATTCATAGAAGCAGTTACTTCAATGGTAGTAAAAAACGATTTCATATAAGGATATAATACAGGGGGAAAATTAGTTCGTAGAAACAAAGGTATAAAATAATTTTAATCTCATGGTGGTTTAAGCGTAGACAAAGGGTGCATACACCTACGCCATTGTGATCGATTCTGAGTCGTCACCCAGAGTATCCAACCATTGATTAAGATAGCCGCGTAGACCCCAACCAAATAGTCTGCATCTATCAACACGGTTCAGACTAGAATTTAGTGACTTCAATGACTGATACCACGTTTTGGTTTGGTCGCCCCCAACTTTCTTCTATCTGTCTCCAACACTAATCAGCAATGCGCGCCGTGGTAATCGGTGCTCCGGTATAATCAACACTTGGCTCAACCATCTCAGTCGATGAAGATTCACAACCTCATCAACTGATTACCATCATTCCCTAATACCCTGGGTCTAACCTCACTATTACCTGGTGATCCCAGCAGATGCGAGAAATATTTCTAGGGTATCTGTTGTCAAATAGTAGTAACTTACGACTATTCCTTACCCTTAATGACCATGCTTCTCAGCTGCAAATTAAAACAGAACGAACTACTGCGCAGTATACTTGTCTCTTGATTGATGGACGGATATCTCGCCTTCACCATAGGTGACGTAAGCTGGCAAAGGCCAAACGGGCTTTTTGAGTCTGTGGAGATTTCGTCAGACACCATACCATTAGGGCTGATCAGACTTCCAAGATAAGTGAAGTTGTCGACGCGCCTTGCAGAAAATTGGATTAAACAAAAAGCACTTGCAGGTACCGTTACTAGTAACAAAAACTGATCAATTCCGTGATCGCCTCAGTAAGGACAAACAAAAACACTTAGTGACGGGTAGCATTGTTTGGTATTCACTAAATTATGTTTGGGACATTCCGTTCTCGATGGTATTCATCTCATCATCAGAGAATCAAACTATCATCATGCATCTACCCAAAACTGTCTTACTTTTAGTCAGTAATGGTCTAAATGACTGATGCTACTTGTTTATTCTGCTCACACTTTCCTATATCACAGGATTGTTAAGTACTTTTATTATTAAAATCAGAATACACATTTTCTGTCATCTATCTATTTATTTGTCCTATTAATATAATAGATCGCATTGCTCCTCTACGGAATTTTCACAATTATAAATCTAGTAAGTTTTCCATATTTACCTTATTTGTCTTTTATGGAATTGTATCAGTAGTAAAAATAGTGATTTTCTTGTTCATTCTCATTACTATGAGTCTTTGTTAAGTGATTCTGTTTTATGCACTCATAGGTTGATAATTTAACGTTGTAGAACCGATTATTTTGTTGAGATGCCTATTTAGAATAATCATAATCTTCCTCACTTCTTAGGTTAACCACTGTAAAATTTTTAGATTTTTTATTAGATGGATGTTTATCTGAATCACTTCACTGTATTGATTGTTGACTATTCATCATTTTCTTTTCTTTTATTCAGCATGATGTGTTTTACTGATGTATATGCTCAACAAGTATCCTGAAAAAGCAAAATCTCTTTTTTAAATGTTTCCTCTCTCAATCATCTTCAATAACATTTATCTTTTGTTGTTAAAAATGAAGCAAATTGGATTACTGCTTATTTGTTTTAAGTTGTTAGGTTGATCTGGAGTAACTGTACTCTAGTTTAAATAATTTGGTTTATCCCTTAATGAATTTGTCACTCAACAGAAGGAGCAATATTTAGGTTTATTTATCAGGAATTTTAACCCATCTTACGTTGGTACTTTTGTGGAATAAGCTAATTATTCGCAACTCTGGTATGCAAATAAGAAATTTTATAGACTTTTACTCCTTCCTTCCCACCTTTGACCTTCGAAGTTCTCGCTTTAAAGTATCAGAAAAATATTCAGCTTGTCAATGTGGTTGTGGATGATTTTAATGGCGAACTCACGTAGTTTATTGAATGACAGTGGTAAAAGTTTTCGGATTATTTTGCTATGTAGTGAAACTTTTTATCTGATACCATGGTGTCTGACAATCTGTTACCACGGAGACTTTCTGTCAATACTCGAACAGTTTTGTTGGTGAACTGTGGCAGCATAGCACAATTCCTGGCCATTCTGACAACGGACCCACGAGAACTATGGACTATGAGTCTTCGGGTTGGGGTCATATGACTAGCAGTGTTTGACTGTCTAGTTTTGCTGCTTTCTGGCACTCAAAGCAGCTCTTAACAAATTTTGCGATTTGTTGGTTCATGAACTGTCAGGGGGCAAAACTCCACTCAATCGATTTCATACGATTAAAACACGGGTGATCGCTGTTAAATTAGCATATATTTAAGGGTAGAAAGATCTGGGTACAAGTTAACTTTATTCAGGCATAGTTCTGTTACTGTTTAGTTTATAGTGGCTACTGTTTCTCTTTATGGAATGTTTTGTACTATTAGGCTTTTGTTTTGAGGGTATAACTAGTATAAAGTCAGTCTTCCTCCTAAAAGCTGGGCTGATGTAAATGATTGTTACAGAAATAAAAATACTCATAAGTTATATTGTTCTGTATCTGAACTATAGATAGACATACTGAAAAATATACTTTTGTGCCCTGTAATAATATCACTTCACTACTAAACTGCTCATCGACGTTTTTCATTTTCTGCATAGAAAATTCACTAAGAAACAGTGTAAGACATTTGTGTGTTGTAAACATACCTGATAATGGGGCCAGTTGGGAGTTTTTCTCACGAAATCAAAACTTTCAAGGTGATTGATCTCAGTGTTGATTGGACCTTCAAATAGAAATATGTGTATCAATATTTGTATTTCTTGAATTGCAGGTCTTGTTTTGTAGTTTAGGTTTACGTTGGCATATGCACATTTTCCACTCAATTCACGAAGACTTTTCTTATTGAAATTTTTTTTAAATATGCGTGTTGTCCACTGAGTATTTAAAAAAGTTACCTAGTTTTTGGAATTTGATTTAGATGAGAAACAATCAGAATGATTGAAAAAAACTTATTACTAAAATTTAATAAGAATTTATGAATATATTCTCTTGCAATAGTGGTATGTATTGAAAGTCACTTTTCAACTTTTTAAGTTTTCTGTTGCTTTGCATACATGAAATGATCATTGGCGGCATAAATTTAATATGACTGTGCACGCGATATGTTCCTAAGATGTTAACTAAAATTTGTTGGTTAAAATTGTTTTACTTACATGATCTCACCATTTACGTAATTTTGCTTTAAAAGCTTGTTTATCTCCATTTATGTTCTATGATAACTTATCAAATGAATCTTCCGTGATTTTTCCATTGTTCGCCGTTTGCTCAGCGATTTCGCAAAAAAATATTACTTTTATTTCATTTTCCTGACTTCGTGCAAATCTCACATTTATGTTTGATTCTAGGTGGTCGACATCACCATACAACGAGTGGTGGTAGTCATATTACTCAACAGACAACCCATAATGTTTCACGGCATCGCCACTATCGTCATTTACCTAGTTCGAATACCTACGAGGCTCCTTCAATGATGAGTTCTGATTTAGAATCAACTAGCTTCTTAGACTCGGAAGAAGAATCTAGCAGGTCAGTTACTTTCTGCGTAGGTTTGTTTTTTCTGGTTGCAAATGACTTCATCTAAAGATCCGGTTAAGGTTTTTTTCTTCTGTATGGTAAAGTTTAAATTATGTTGATGTATTTGTTACTAATTGAAGTTTGGAAATCGTTAGTAGATCTAGATAAGCTTATCTGAGTAGTATAGACTAAACTGATGATATATGTTCCAAAAGAACTTTATAGTGTTGTCTTTAGGGTTAATAAATAACTTTTCATTTGATTTTGTAAACCAGATTTTCATCAGTCACTGGAACAACATTATCTTCCCGTCGGTATGGCCGTGCACGTCGCAGACAAAGACGTAGGCGTCCACCACCAATCAGCCGGGTAAGCTTATTCTGTGCAATAATTTTTTTTGTTCGTTTCGTACATTTTATTTCATACCCATTACTCTGCAATCGTCTTAAAATTGGGATTTTTCCACATTTCATTCACTGTTGATGTAACTCTATCAGGTTCAGGTTTACTGCATTCAATTTTGAGTGACATTTGTAAGTGAGCTTTTTGCAATACCCAGCTGTCTAAATCGGAGTGGGTTGGTGTTTAAACTTAAACACATATGGTTAGAAATCGAATACTTTAACCACTAACCTGTCACTCACTATATTTGAAGTAGATTTAATTGACAATTAACATCGTTAGGGATATCACTCAATGATTAGCCCTCATCGCTAACGGAATTACATGGAGAAGTTTGGAATGTAGACCCTAAGTGATACAGTATAGATGTTGTTATGTCACCAAAATAATCTATCGGTAGCCCCGTGCCACTGCCAGTGATTGGAAATAATATATTATTATGTTTGTTAGTTCACAAGTTATCCAACTACATCTCCACATTAAAAATATACCAAAAGTCTCCTTATCTATAAATTATTCTGAATTAGTTATCTAAGTTTGTGGTCGTAACAGCTAATAACATTTTTTCTCAGTTTTCTGCAATTTAACTTTGGCAATATCTACAAGTTTTTCAGAAGACTTACACTTTTATTGTGTTTAATTTTTTATAGGCCTCTTCATTCAGCAGTATTACAGATTCCACCATGTCTTTAAATATTGTCGCAGTTACGTTGAACATGGATGTCGTCAATTTCCTGGGTATCAGTATAGTTGGTCAGTCAAACAAATCTGGAGATGGTGGGATTTATGTAGGTTCTATCATGAAAGGTGGTGCTGTCGCTCAAGATGGACGAATTGAACCTGGGGATATGATTCTGGAAGCAAATGGGATTAGTTTTGAAGAAATGAGTAATGACGATGCAGTTCGCACATTACGAGAGCAAGTTCAGCGTCCTGGGTAAGTTCATACTATGGCTTGTTTTCTTAAATAATGAAATTCAACGTTTATAACTGAACTGTTTATGCTATTGTTGAGCAGCAATCAAAATTGTCATCGAATTATATAAACTCCCAAGTTATTTGTCCTTGGGACAGGTATCGGATATTGTTCTACAATTTCACTATCTAATTCTCTTAGATAAAATCAAAAAACTTGTTTCTTATCATCTTAAGATTCATGAAGGGTTGAAGTACGTGTGAAAGTATGGTGTATTCTACTTGGAATGCTATCTATCATAATGGTATGTTTTGAAATAGTTGTCATCGGGAACTAACGAAAACATACTTTAAATCATACAAATAAATAATAACTACCTAAGTAAATAGTAGGATTATGTTTTACAAAACGTTAATTATATTATGACCCTCACTTCCCACTTTACAAGCACGCCTTACTAATTATCAAACACGTGTACTATATTTACACCAAACGTATTATATTCTTTGTACACGAAACGTTTATATCCTCAGAGTTATATGTAATGTATTCTGTCTTTGTTATGTGATATATCCGGAGATTTCGTAGGCTTTACTTGCACGAATCATCATGTCTGCCAATGGTATTTATTACTCTCTTTAGGGTTATACTCTGTTGACATATACACTACCTGTTCCTTCCAGTGTTGTTTAGTGCATTACTGTTGCCCAACTAACGGAAGAGATCCTTTTGGGCCATTAATGAAGGAATAAAGACAATTTAGCGAAGATCTTTTCATTTACTGAAGCTATACAATCATATTTATACTTGTTTGTCAAATATAGTAATTTATTGAAAATCAGAAAGAGATGACATCATAAGATGTTTGAAAATTTCAAGTATCACAAAGAGATTGCTTGATGTTCTGAAGGTTAAATAGATATAGTAAGATGAAAATAGTTTACGGATCAGACATGCGAGTTAGTAATACACCTGATAGATGCTAAAAAGAATGAAAAAATGGGATGTTAATAGTAACTAGATAATAATTATGAAGATTTGGAGGTGATAACCACTGAATAAGAAGAACTAAAGTGTGAGATCTATTGTAAAATGAAACCGTACTTACTACTTTTGGACATAGAGTTCAGGGTTAAAGCACTTCATTGCTAGAACCTCTGCAGTTCGCAGGTTTCCAATTTTTCCTATTTATGATTATACGCGTTTGACTTTAAAGGTAGTTTTGAAAGATAATTCTGGTCGGGCATCGAGGCTAGATTTATTCCACATTAAAAAATATTTTCTAAATAGTATCTTCAACCGTAAACTGTTGGTTTACAGTCAATGTGTTTAAGTTGTTATATTACGAATCTTTAAACTTTGTGGTCAATACGATCGAACTCTTAGTTTATCACAAGTATAAGAAATTATGGGGTTTGAAAACCAACTTCGCTTTTAAATGAATTGAGTTTTTGTCGGTTGTAAAATTCTGGCTTTTTGTAATTTTCAATACTTTTTTCCCTAGACCTATTACATTAGTTGTTGCTAAATGTTGGGATCCTAATCCAACCGAACGTTATTTTACGATACCTCGCCAAGAACCTGTGCATCCTATTGATCCGCGTGCCTGGGTGTTACATACCAATGCAATGACCACACCAGACTCACAGATTCAAAGTAGTGATATACATAGACAAGTTAATGGGACTTTCATGACTGGCGCCTCGTCAGGTGGTGAGTCTAGCTCCACTCTTAGCCCTCCTGGTCTTACTCCTGGTATGAGCATGGGCACCTTGACATCAGGGCAAACTTCAATGCCACTAGGTACAAGTGCAGCAGCGTTTAATATGGCTGCTTTACTTGCAGCCTCTAAACAAAAACAGCAACAAGAACAAGAACATCAGCAGCAACAACATTTACTTCAACAACGAATTCATTTATCACAACCTACATTTTATCCTGCATCAAATTTATTACTTCCTCATGGTTATAATCAACAGGTAAAGTGTTGATATCAACTAGGATGTTATTTCGTTTTTTTTCTCACCGCTAAATGTTAATTTTTCGTAAATTTCGTAATTACTGTAAATCATTAAAATTCGAATCTTAACAATTGATGGTTAATACATTCTTAATAAGCGTAAATTTTTGGATCACTGGAAAAAAGATTATTTTTCACAATAATTTTAAAATGAATTTTAATTTTCACTCAGTTGTATGCTTTCATTTCAAAAGGATAATGTGGCGTCTCACATACTCGATTTTTAACTACTCGGTTATGGGTTTCAACTCTCCTAGTTCATATTTCTAGCTATCACACTATAGTTGTGATTAAGAAATACTTGATAAAATTAGTTGATTGCATTAGTACTTAACTATTGTTAACACGTGATACTTGAGCTACAAATCTTCACCATCTCGAATACCAATGCTATTATGTATATATTTATCTTATTCAGATTACTTGTTAGGAGGCGGGTAAGTGAAGAGTATTTTAAGACCGATCGAATTGTTCTCTAAGGCGTTCTACCCACTGTTCTAATGTCATAAACTGAAAGCGGATCACTGTCCCGTGTTTTTTCGAAATTGTTTCACTAACAGCTGAATTTTTAGCACCAATCTACTTGATGAGTTTAAACAAATTGTCTAGCGTTGCCTATTCCCATCGACTTACTGATCCTTTTTTCACTTTCATTTCTCGGCATCGCTTTCGGTCCTTACATAGACTTTTCGTCAGTCTTCTTAAGTTGTCTTAACGCTTTATTGCTCCTCGAGCATGCAGTACGGGTTTCCGTGAGTCCATAAATTTACTTGAGGCTTCAGAGATCTATTGGTTGTTTTACTCATTTGGTTCAGGTTTTTAACATACGTCACTGTTGTTTTTAAAGTGGGCCACAAACCGTCCCAGGCTATCTCAGGGTTAAAACTTTTACTTGGTCAACTAATGCCTAGTTAGTTCTCTCTTAGATACATCCTTAGTCTTTTCAACTGAAACAAGGTCATGACAATACGTGCATATAAATACATAATTGTAATATTCTTCCTATTTTGTAGAAAATTTTCACGAATTATATCCTCTTTACATCATTGATTTTTCATTTGTTTATGATTTAATACTCGTAGATCGCTCCTAGCATTGTTACTGCATCCAGCTCTCTGCCGGAGATTGAACGTTACTCAGACCCCATTCCATTAAATCTGTCGACAAGTATTCCCACAGTTATTCGTGCAATGCTTCAACCAGATTCTGGTCTCGATATTAGGGACCGCGTGTGGCTCAAGCTAACTGTACCAAACGCTTTTATAGGTTAGTTGCAAGTTTTTGGATAAGTTTTTATTCGTCAGCCACTTCCTTTTTAGGATTACCGTTTTTAAAGTCTGCTCTACTCTTGCTTTGTCTAAATGTCTAGTGCATGTGTAACCAGATTCAAATTGCTCGTTCTCTAAACAGCTGAGATATCACTAGGGTCACAGCATACTTCGTAGTCATTTATTTGGTAACCTTTAATAAATATTTTAATTTATTGAATTTGAGACAACAGCAGCGTTCATTGGCATAGAGCGTTTTATTTCAGTTGGTACAGTTGAAGAGTTAGATATCACTTTAATAAATCTGGTAAAGAATACCTTTTCTCACGGTAGATTTTTTGTTTTTGCTCGTGGTGGAGTACATAACTATCCATAGTTTTCATAATATTTTTCGAGATCGAATAGTTGGGACACTATCGTTTAGTCAAAGACTTAGTCGACATTTAACAATTGCATCTTAGCTTTAAAATCTACTTCTGATTAAAAATCTATATAGCTTCATCAACCTTCACACATTAGATGTGTTTCAAAGCCAAGAATACAGATATGTATCAAGTTAAATTAATTTACGTTTCTACGTTGAGCTAGATTTCTACATTAAATTTTTAAGAGTATTTCTTCATTTGTCTTGTAAATTATGAGAGTTACTAGTGAAAGTAGAAAAAGTTATGTATTTACGTTATTGGATTCGATTCTTATTATATTTCGTCTTCAACAAAATCCTCGGTTAGTGATATTATACAAGTGAATAAGCTGGAACGATCAATTTTTTTTGCGACTCACCCTAAGGGTCACACTTGATGTCTTTAACAAAACTTATTTGTCCTATTTGGGACACTAGGCTTTCACTAGTTTGACTAATTACAATAATTTCGCCTGTTAATTAGGTGAAACTCTACTCGAAAACGAATGGTTCAGAAGGTTTAATGATTGAGGCTACCTGTTATGTATAATGTATTATTCTGCAAATAGACTGCTACTATAATTGTTGCATTCACAGTTATGTGCCACTGTCGTAACTTTTTTACTCATTAAATTATCTGCTGCGACGTTTCCTCTTTATCATAGTTTCCACATGAACGTAGTTTTAAGATTCATTTTTTTATCTGTCACGTCTAATCTAGTTCACTTCTACCAACATAACATTTTGAAGAACCTTTTTATGCTTGCATACTTTAACGTTTTCATTCACTGATAGATTACAGTTTGCCCTTTTGTTAGTTTCACATCGTACGGTTTTTACTTCACCCTCAAGGTTCTGATCTAGTTGATTGGCTTTTCCGTCAATTGGATGGTTTGACCGATCGCCGAGAAGCCCGAAAGTATGCATCTAATCTGCTCAAATTGGGATACATTCGGCATATTGTAAATAAATTAACTTTTTCAGAACAATGTTACTATGTCTTCCGGGATATAAGTGGACGTAAGCATTTATCTTACTCTTTTATTGCTTTACTTTTGTTTTGTGAACTTTTTTTGTGAGCCATTCTTGTTAACATATTATGCAATTAATACGCATGACCATATCTGTCGGATATTTTCATTAGTTCTCTTGAGAGATTTAATTTTTATATCCAGGCTAGAGTATTTATGTCTTTTCTTAATTAAAACTTGTAATTTGACCAAACTTCGTGTACCTTTTAGATCAGTTTTACTTCACATTCTATTTTCATTACACTACGTCTCAATTCGACTGCCAATAGCAAGAAATATATCGTGGTGCATATTTTTCTTGTTTCATGAATAAAATTATTCAGTATATCTTCTTTGTTAGAGTTTTGAGCCCATTGGAGGCACTGAAATGAATAGTCGTAGAAAGTTAAACAAGTTATTTCAGTATAAATAGCTGTTTCTTATTTTTAAGTTGTGTATTGCTCTTTCCTATTTGGCTTGTTGCTGAAGTTAGTGAATTTCGTCATCTAATAACCTTTTACCTTTATATTTTTCAGATATGTCTTGCTTAAGTTTAGAAGAAGTTGATAGTGTCAGTGAAGTTGGTGCACATTCTCATCCCAATTGGGGACACAATACAACAAGTACTAGTTTAACTGTTAGGGCCGGTGCTAATGGTAGCATGCCAGATTACAATCCAGGTTTTGTTGGATCTCACGGAATCGGAGCAGCAAGTAGAGAAGGGAATAGCAGTCAGTATAGCACCGTTTCACCGATGTATCATCCACCTGCTCCGCCTCTTGCTGCTCCTATTCGTCAGTTGATCGCAGACGGTCAAAATATAGCTGCTAACGCAAATCTCCAGCAGCCACACAGTGGGTCCCGATTGAATAATGGAAATCGAGATAATATTTCAGGTTAGTGACAAATGTGTACTAAGTTGTATGATATACTGATATGAAGATGGTTAAAACTGTCTACTGTTATGCGAATAAATATCCCTAGTCGTTGGTCGCAGGTCAGGTAACGGGGACCATCTACTGCAACTGTGCACAGATCAAAACCTGTTTCTGATTAGCACTAACTTCTGGCATAGTCATCGCCTATGTACCACCTAGCGTCCTCTCTCTACATCTCAAGCCTGGGCTCAGATTGATCACGTCGCGATCAGCTACCGCTGACGTGGTTGTGTACAAGACTGCCGCTCCTTTTGGAGTACATATCTGGACTCTGATCATGTCCTGGTCTGCACCAATCTTACCTTACTTTTCAGTGGCCAACGAATTGACCTTCATCAACGGATTGATGTCAGTAAATTGGTTGCAACTTTTGTTGCAAGTACGTATCGAACCGAGCTAGCTTCTAGGCTAGCTACCATCCCACTGAAAAGTATAGATGAGCATTGGTTGCAACTGCATGACGCCATGAAAATGGCGGGTAAGGTCGCTTGTGGCTTCGTGAAACGTCCCACTTATAAGCACTGGGTTTCTTCAGGCTCCTTACAACTCATCGAAGCCCGTCGGTCTACTCCGGGTGACCGGGAGTTTGACCACAAACGAAGGCTGTTACGTAATGACGTTGGGCAAAGCTTGCGTAAGGACCGAGAAGCCTAGTGGTCGGAGTGTGCTAATGAGATGGAAGCAGCAGTTGCATCTGGTAACTGCCGGAAGCTCTTCCAACTCATCCGAGCCACTGGCAGAAAGAAGTTTGGTGTGAGTGAAACAATCTGTGAGGATGATGTGATGCCAATCACTAACATCCATCGACGTCTTGGACAATGGGCAGAGTTCTTTGAAGGGCAATGCAACTGGCCTGTTGTTCCGGCAACATCGATCAGATTGTCCTGTCCTCCATGGCCGGTGACGATGGTCCACCAAATGAGGCTGAAGTTCACAAGGAACTCCAACTCTTGAAACGCTACAAATCACCGGGCCCAGATGACTTACCTCCGGCCTTTTTTAAAGATGGTGTAGACTTTCTGGCTAAGGAACTGACTGAGTTGTTTACAAAGGTCTGGCATTTAGACAGTGTTCCAACATTATGGAATGAGGCGATAGTCGTCCCTATCTTTAAAAAGGGTTCACGTTGTTCCTGTAATAACTCTCGGGGGATAAATCTACTTTCGATTGCGTCCAAAATATTGGCTTCTGTCATACTTCGTAGATTGTTCAAAACTTGAGAAAGATTGACTCGCGAGGAGCAATCTGGATTTCGTTCTAGTCGAGGATATATTGATCATATCTTCAACCTCCGCCAAATGTCAGAACACCGTCATACTTATCACAGGCCAACAATCATAGTTTCTTGATATCGGCCGCCTTCGATTCGTTGGATGTAACCTCCTTAACTGAAAGAATCCTTCTGGCTGTACGTTTCCGTTTCCCCCATTATTATTCTTATTATTACACTGGCATACACTAATCTGTTGTTGTTATTGTTTTTTTCTTATACGCACCTTACCTTCTTTTTCTCTTCCCCTTCTCATTGTCTTGTGTGGCGCATGTATATCGGTTGCCCCCTTACCAATATTTGTGTTTTAAAATACATAATAAATAATGATCAACAACCTTTAACACAATTGTGTCATAAATAAGGTGAAATACCACCTAACAACGTTTCACACCATTTGCAATCATTTCCTTCATCGTACTTTATTTCTAATGTAGGGTACTTAGTATCTCCTTGTTTGAGGGTATTCAAATTATAAGTATCTTTTACTCCTCTTCATGTACAAGATACTCATTTCAACTATTTAGTGAGCGACTAATGATCAACTGCGTAAGTTTTCTGCATAAACCTTTCTTGATATCTGTTGATTTAACCTGACTCAAAGCTTTCCTACTTGAAGTCACTGACTCAGTTAATCACCGTTGATTGTCATCCTCAAAATTATCTGTTAAAATTCAATTATTGATTTTCTTTCACTTTTCCATTGTTTCATATTTTCATATATCTACACTCATTAGGTCTTATGTTTTCCATATAAATTATTTAAATCACAAGTCACAAAACTTTCTAGGGATTTTTGGCTATAACCATTAGTTTAGATGTCACTTAATTTTGTTCATGATTTTTTGTTTCCTGAATTCCACTTTTCAGGCGGCTATTCCAGTTCAACATCTAGCACAAGTAGTGAGTCAGGCCATTTCGCTCATGAAATTCCTGGACATACGAAATCGCGCCCCAAAGAAGCGTCCGCATCAAACCATATTGGGGCTCAGGGATTCAGCCATTCTAGACAACAAGATTCAGTTTTACCAAATATACGGTCACTAAAACAGCAACATTCCCAGTCAAATTCTAATTTGGCACAGACTCTCTCTGCTACTGGTGGTGTTGCAGGCAATCAGTCCAGATTAAGACCTCCTTTTTATTCTAATGGTAATGATCTATCTCAACAGAATGAGCTTGCAGCATCATCTACAGGATCTAGTTCAACTTCTTTTGGAAACCCAAGACAAAATGTTCCCAATAATAATTCTGATAGCAAGCAACACCAGACACAAGATTCAGTTAAACGAGATTCTATGCTCAGTTCGAAAAGTAGTAGCAGCAGTAGCTGTACTCCGTTGAATGCAAACATGCAGGAAACGCGACTGTTCAATTCACATCGGCTGTCTCATATGCCAAATCACCAAAATTGTGCTCCTCCTCCTCCTCCACGAATTTCAACCGCTGTTTCTGGTTTCACACTGACAAGTCATCCTTAGACAGTAAGAATTGTTATAATAACTCTCCTCATTTGGCGTCGGTATTTTTTGGTTAGGTCTGAAATCAGCACTGCCTTCAAAGTGGTTTGTCTAGTGTTCTCAGTAGCACTTAAAATAGATTCTGGTCAGCTCGATATGTGAACCTGTTTCTACTTAGTCGATATCTAATCTGAGTGGGTGGTTATTTCAAGTCCATTGTTTTATCATACTCATCCATTAACAAGTGATATAATTTAATTATCTAAATCATAATTAATCAAAGGATAACAACGGTTAACGCAATATTCTGTTTATATGCTATACTTACTTATGCTTATTTACTTACTAGTTGCCCTGTATCAACATAGTTACTGAGACAGTAATATCATAGTAAGCGTTAATTCATATCTATTACACAAAATTAAGTAATATGATTTAAAACCAGCGTTAACTTTCTAGATTAGACTAGCTTCCAGTCAATCGACACTACGTGGTTGATGTTATACCCTTTCACTTAAAGTCTTTTACCACTGATTTTTATCATGTGGCCCTTAAATCCTATTTAATGATTGTATCAGTAGTCATTAGTAGAACTTCAAGTCACCATTTAATCTAAACATGTAGCATGTGTAAATAAATAATATATTTGTAATATCCCAATCAGTAGAAAAATTAGATTTTCTGGCGTTTCGTGACTCAGTGTAAGCCGCTTCTTCAGAGATTAAACAACTCAAGAAGTGGCTTACGTTGTGTTATGAAATGTCAGAAAATCTAATTTTTCTACTGATTGGGATATTACAAATATATTATTTATTTATAACGATCTATCCAATGCTCAATTTATTCAAAATTATCAAATCAAAAGTTGATAGTGATACCTACGTAACATGTGTATTCCAAATGAATCTTTTAATACGAGTCCACTATTCAATTATAATACTCAACACTAGTCCGTTTGTAACAAAGATTAACTTTGACCTGGTGACTGTTGAATCACTTTTAACCTACATCTTTCTGTAAAATGCCCTTGAACTATTTGCTCATAAATACATTAATTCCTACTTATTTGTTGGGAAAACGTAGATGTATGAGGCACTCACAAGAGTGTGATATATTTCTGTGTGTTCATCAAGCTTATTTCAGTGCATAAAATATACTACTGATTCATCTGCTTTTTACTCGTCTTAAAATTTTGATATCTTGTTCGCCTTTATTTATTTTTGAGTATAAAGCCTGTTTATGCTTATAAAGAAACATTACAGTATCGTTTTTCCCTTTTTTTTAGTGAAATAATCTGAAAAAAACCGAATCACTGTGGTTTGGGAAAAATTTTCTACCTCATCCCATCTCTTCTCGAAGATTTCCAGAAAGACATAATTATTTTGACCATTTCGTTGTAATTAGAGTGATATGTGATACTCGGATTTCCATAATATAACCTCATTTCTTCACAAAGAAGCTCATCCCACAACTCAGGCCATTTTTCCGATTTTATATTCATGAAAGTTTTCTCTCTGTAATATATAGTTCACTCACGCGTTAAGTTGTATATTGTGCAATCATTAACATTTTAAAATACCCTTTTTAACAAAAGATATCAACTCTTGTAATCAATCTCATAGTCTACCTCGATGTATTGTTTATCATTTATGTAGTTACAACTTACTGTCTTGTTCTTCAAATGAACTCCCATATTGCATATTATGTACCTATCCTTCTTTTTTATCTAGCTGATTCGTTTTTATCTCATTTCCTTTCTTTTTTAACTAACAGAATATGCTTTATTTAACCGTATTATTCAGTTACCTACTCCAGAATTAATTTTTTCCTTAAATTCAGCTGTCGTTACGTATAATATTTGATTGATATTTAAATCATTTGCAATTTTTAAATTAAAACTTTCTAACTAAATCTCTCTTTTGTTTCGAGTACTTCATTTTCTTAGCAGTGTAGAAATCGCATTCAGTTATTTATGGTAATGCAAGTAAGAATTGGTTTTGTAAGTTTCTTGGTGTTTATAATTCTAAATGAGATATCTTGAATGGAGGAATCGGAGCGCCGTGATCTACCTATGTCGGATTTATACTAGTTAAGGCACATGAAAACTTATTGAATTAAGTTCATCTATGTTACTCAGTTGGTCCGAGTTATTATATTTCAAAAACAACTCAGGCAAGAAAAGATGTTGAATAATGGTAACCAACGTAATCCAGACGTCCGAAATATAGAGGAAGATTAAAAATAAGTGCTACTTCACAAGTCAGTTTTCAAATTGCAAGGTCCTGCTACATTTAATTTTTAATGGATGGTTTACTCCGAACATTTCGTTTTCTTGGTGATTCTTTTAGCCGGTGTTCATCTAGTTTATCTCTCACTATGAGCCATTCTCATAAAAAAACTTATTGACTTATTTTGATTCTCAAAAGAAAAAGACGTAACAATCTTTAATTCAAACCCACAGTCACTTGTTTTCGAAAAGGACAAACGTTGATTGTAAATAGGAACATTGTCTCTATATCAACACACTGAGAAAATTTCCTGTTATTCATTGTTGACGGTCTTGTTTTTTATTAACTATATACCTTACAAATTTATGTGTTTGGATGGTATAAAGAAGCCTAAGACTAGTAAGACTCTGCGTTTTAGTGAGGGTGTCTCTAGTACTATGTTCAACTTTTGATGATCTCAACTTACTACTAAAATCGGCAAACTGCTACCAAAAGTCAATAAAAGCTAATGGACCTCTGGAAAATCCATTAATACTAATTGACGCATGAAGTTCCATTCTTGCTGGGTTAGTACGATCAGGAACAAAAGCCTAGTTGTAAACGGCCTAAAGACCTTTGTAATAATCACAAATTACTTTCGATGCTATAGGGAAGGGGAATCTATGTAATTTAACTAGAAGGAGATAACAGAATATTACCGGGAAGGAAGTGTTAATAAGCTTTTATAATGATGGGTTGAATATCATGAGGGACCCAACTTAACAATGAACATCCCTAAATTCCCCAAGATCGATATTAAGCTTTTAGTTCATCAAAAGTGAGTAGGTAATTGGTCTTGGAAGTTTTCATCCTGAAGACTACATATGGCTGTTAGTAGTTACTGGTTTCATTTACAGGTATTGTTTAGTATGTAAGAATTAGTGGTGGCTATATATGTTTGTTTCGGTTTCTTCGCACTTTAATTCGTAATGAAGACTAAAGATTCTCTCTTAATAATCACAGTAGGGCTGTCTTAGTGCTTTTTAGGATTTTCGGAAAAGCTGAGTAAAAGATATAGTTGTGTTGAGAAAGTCAGGCCAGTAGATAAGGCTTGATTCTCTGTGAATGGGCTGGTTTAATCATAGGTTCAGACACTACGTATTGGTATTCGATAGTTTAATAATGAGTATTATAAAAGCTAGAGATATGTGATGGAGGCTATTCTATAAATTAATCATTTGGGAAGATATGGGATCTCTGTATTGAAACGTCAAGAAGCAAAGGTTAAATGTCGTATGCTTTCGGTTTCCAACGTATTTTGTTGTTGCTAAGTTATACTTACCTTGAAAATCCTAGCCTATGTATTACCGTGGTTATGCGCGTCCGTCTTCTGGAGCAGTTAACTGGATCAATAATCTTTTTCAACCCAACCATATTGTATTGTCGAGTATAACTATATACATTCCACATTACCTGAGCTAATTTTTATGCCCTGTTCACTAGGTTGTTACTTAGCCGTTTTTAAACTATGTTCAAAGAAACTGAATTACTCTTTCATTGAGACTGAATAATATCTAGATTACCTTCCAAACTACTCAAATCATTATAAATAAGATTAGTAATTCTGTGTAATGCTCCATTTATTCATCCTTTCCTATTAGCATAATCATTTTGTATGGTTTAAGTTCATGAAAGCTTCGTAATTGGCTATTTCTGATTTTCTCATAATTTCATTTAACTGATATATCTATAATAATTATAACACGTAAAACAAAAGGGAACGACACAATGTTATGCACGAACATAATTTTTTACAAGTATGAAAATATCATTCACTGTTAAATTTTTTAAGTATATGATTAAAAGTTTTTGCTAGAGGTATGGAACAGAAATTATTAAGCTTGGACTAATAAGTATCTATCATCATGATGCATATATTTAACGTTGAGAAATGAAATGAAACTATTTAGTAGAGAATCTAATCATCTTAATCGACATTTATTCACTCTATGCTCTGATCATGTGGGTATTTCAGTAGTAAAGTGTTTAAGTGATGATTCCTACCTTGTTACCAATCCTATGTCATCAAATACATGATATTAATATGCCGAACTATGTTACAGTTGGTAAATTCATCGAGATATTTTAGTAGACGCCACGGTATTCAAGATTTTTTTTTAGCTCACATGTTCTTGTGTACAACAAAAAATCATCGATTGGAACATCTCACATTCCATATATCATTCTGTTCAATGTGCAGTGATATACCAAATAGAATAGTTCGATTGTAAGATTATGCAGATAATGTGTAGTGTAGAAATTTCTCAAGTTTGTTCAAATTCTTTTTATTCTAAGAATAATAAACTTGAGGTTGGACGTTTTATTGATATAATCACTAAGAAAAACGATAAACAGAATACCAGACTGTGTGACCGTTCTATTTATTTAGACACCACTAAACAGACTAGGGTTTATCAGAAATCTTGAAAATCGATTGAAACTGAAAAATAAGATAAACTCCTGAGAAATGACTGAACAGTACAGAAATTCCTATGCTTTTTATAATTTCTGCTTAATAATATCCTATTTTTCAATAAATATTACATTATCACATTACCAATGCTTAAAAGTATGTATTTAGCGGATTCTTTTCAATACCTTACAAACCAGAAACAATAGTATTGATGAATTAAAAACAACATACATAATTTATGTGAGAAAAGTCGTGATTTAAAGTAGATATGATGTCTAAATGTAAATTGTTCAAGGATATTAATTGTGAACGAATTGAAAACTTGTCTGAATAGTTATCTATTTATAAGTTAGATATTTAAATGTTCTAGAAAGGAAGACTGTAAAGAGCACGGAAACAGTCTTTACAAATGAAAAACAATGTAATAGTTTATCAGAAATAAAACTGAATACTTAAGTAAACTCCTGATTAGAAGTGAGAAATGAGGAATCATAATTATAATCATAAGAAGAGCGGTTACTTAACCTACATCATCAAAATAATGCAAGATTGATAACTTTATATTTTTGAATACATAAACTTGTTCTAAGTCTCCTTATAACAATTGCTCTAGGACAGTAGGGAAATTTGAAAAAATTTGTTGACTTTTAATTCTCAAATTTTCTACCTTTTACTAATCTATATCTACATTTCATACTTATTTTAAATCACAACTTTTTTCACATAAGTATGTTGTTTTGGTTTTAAATCATTTATACCATTGTTTCTGGTTTGTGAGGAACTGAAGAGAATCTACCAAATAAACGAGTTCAAATTTATTCTATAATCATCGTTGTTTTTACTATGATCAATTTCATAAAAGATGTAAATTGTTTGAAATCCCTGCAGTTACAATTTTCTTAGTTTTTAATGCTGATAAGATGTGTTCGTAAATTACCAACTAAACAATCATCAGTTTTATGGTTTATGTTCTGAACAGATTGCACTGACTGAAAGCCTGTTTCGTAAGTCAGGTAGATCAATTCTGAAGTGAACCCAAATTGAGGATAGGAACAAGGAAAGACTATGCTGTTATACAGAATGAACAAAACTGTTGTGGAATGATAATTAGATTCTTACTACATTACTTAATATTATCATTGTTTTCACAATATTGGAATGTTGTAGCAAGAATAAAATTACTTCTGGGAGCTCCTGAAACATGAAGGACGAGTTGTTTATTGTTATGTAGGTCTAGGATTATTTTTTAGTTGAAAAGCATGTTCAGGTGATTTTTTTCGCATATTGCATACATTAAAAAAAAGTTTTTACTTACTATAGATCTTTGCTTGGCGAATAGTGCTCTATCTTCCTCATTGCTTAAGAATTCACTTTTACGTGTACTGATCGATGGAATGCTCTAAAGGAGTTGAAAATAAATTTCAAAAGAATTTGTGTGGAATTGTGGGATTTACAAAAACTACAAGTCATTTTTCAAGTCAACTGAGTAATAAAATTCTTTTGAAGCACTGATATATTCAAATTTGATATATAGTCTGAGAGTTAATTAGTTACTCTTTAACAAGAACTGAGGTCAATCTCTGACGAAAACCACCCACATATTAAACCAGTCTTCGTAAAATCCCCTTATGAACACTATGATGGCATGTTCATTAGTTAAGTACTTCTAGATAAGTGGTATTGAGAAGCGACCGGTGGAGTTCAGATATTTTGTGAGTGAAACAGTCGCACAAGTGACATTAGACGATCGTTTCGCAATATAATGATTTGGATAAAGTTGGGAACGAAGATGCATTCAGTTCAAATCACTGGTCCAAAAGCAACACACCCGTCAAGAGACCTGAAAGTCCTGAGTTCACTCTATGATGCAGTCGTGTGTGCACATTTCTGAGTAATCCTGCAAGGAAACATATTCCCAGTGCTGCGTGTTTTTAACGTTCTCGTCTGAGAAAAATGTATAAAGAATACCTCTTACAAATTAATTTAATAGCCGCAAAAACTATCTCTTAACTGTATGCTATTAAAAATAATGAATGCATTTGAACAAGATGAATTCATTTGATTACATTAGGTTCTCATCAAATTTATACAAACACCAAGGTCTAAATACTAGAATTTACCGAGTATTAACATGAATTATCATAATGAAGAATAGTTAAGAAAACGATTAAATAAAGGTTAATTAAGGCAGCTCAATCGGAGTAATAATAATAATTAAGTCACTACCTTTTAAAATACGAAAAAATTTCAAAAGTATTACTTGGGATACTTAAGTAAAGATTGGATGAAACTGATTTTAATCACTTACAAATGACATGGAGTTGGAAAAATAAATACACATTAAGCAAGAATAGCAAATAAAAACAACCATCTTTTAACAAAGAGTATTTCAGTTATGCGGATGGGATCGAGTTGTTTTTAAAAAAGTGTTTATTAAACATTTACAAGCATTTAACTGGTATTTTACGTAAATTAGTTATTCGATGAATGGACTACTAAAAGTATTTATTTCCTATACTGTATTAAATGTTAATATTGAAGTCAATATATTAGTATGAGTGCCTCCAAACGCCTTGGTACGGCCGAGAGTGAGGAGAGTCCGCTCTTCCTCTCGAAATGCTCTCACATGGCCACGCGAATATATATAGCCTCTGCCAGGGAAGTCCTACTTACTGCCTTCTCGCGGCGGGGGTGTTGTTTACGAAAATGAGAGAACGAAAAGCGAATATCTGGCGCTTTAACCGGGTTGGTGGACACGGCGTGTCTACCTCGGGGATTTGGAAAAACCTGATTCTAACCAATGATGCACATGGGCTCCAGTATCCTGAGGGAAAATGGCGTATGAATCAACCGTTGGTCACCGGCTACCATGGGACTGTATCTCCTCACGATGCTCCACTGCCTTGTTGATCAGATCTTTAGTTTGAAGGCCCAGGGTGTGGCCTACTAAGAAAATCACCTGCTTCGGTCTGAGCAGCCGGACAGTATCACAGGCCTCACACAAATCAAACGAGATTTGTGTGGCGCATATGTATCTGGTGCCCCTTTGTACCAATATTCATGTGTTCAAATAAATAAATAATAGTACGAGCTGATTATATGTCATAACTAACAATTTACCTAATATACGTTATTGTATACAATGATTATGTTTCTCACATCATCTGGAATAGGATTTAATTTTCTTACAGAAAATTATCATAATATATCGTTATTATGAACAAATAAAATATATGTCAATATAGTACTTGATTTATTCAACTAAGATTTATAGATCATGAGTCAATTGAAGCCAAAATTTCATGGAAAACCTGGAAGCACTGGACGGCCGTTTCGTCCTATTGTGGAACTCCTCAGCAGTGCGCATCCACGATCCCGACTAGGTAGATTCGAATCCAGGACTTATCAGTCTCGCGCGCGATCGCTTAACCTCTAGACTACTGAGCCGGCATTAAACGGTGTTAATGTCTTACTTCGAACGAAACGGCCATCCTGTGCTTCCAGATTTTCCATAGTGGTCTAGTTTCAATCCATTCATGATCTCAGCTACTAAAATTACTATAATATTCGCAAAAACCCTTCAGATATTAAGTTTTATAAAGTTGGATATGGTTCAAGTCAGGTAGGTGGTATTTTTTTGTTTTTAATTCCACTTAAGTATTTTACACATTTATAACATAAATCTATTTAACTTTGCATTTTGTCAAGTAAATTTTTCTCCTAGTAAACCTAAATTTCTTAATGACCTAAACAACTATTCTTTACCAGATCAGAGAAACCTCATTTACAACTTTAAGATTATCATTTAAATTGTAAATAATAAAATTTTATTATTATATGATCTGAATTTTGATTATTTATCCAAAATTGGAAAGTTCAAATCGATGTAATTAATTTTCAAAGAACATGAATGACAGAATTTACAGAATATAATGAATTCATTATATTTCATTGTATTATTTTCAAATTCATACTGTGGTGTGTGCTACTGATATCGACAGATATAAGTAGTATGTTTCATCAATCGAAAGTAAAATACCTAACAGTAGAAGATTAAGAAGATCGAAGAAAAGTGAACGAGAACAGTGAATGATTGTTGTGGAAATGAAGGAACAGTGAAGTCTGAGACCATTGATTTCCATTTGTAAAAGGATCAGTCAAGTTTGAGTCAATTGATTGACATTTTCCAAATGTAGTATTTACTGTATGGTGCTCAGGTTTTACTAGGATGTTCTGTAATTCAGTATTCAAGTAAATCCGATTGTCCCCACTTGTGTTCTCGTTCACTACAATACAAGTTAATTAGAATTTTGAATGAATATTGACATATTTCGGATTTGATAGATGAATTACGTGTCATAAGAGTAGACTTTTGGACAGCGGATTACAATTTTGATTAGACTACATTTACATACAAATTTAGTACATTAAAAAGACATGAAGATAGTAATCTACATATTTTGTTGAAGAAAATCTAAAATATTTCCTCGGCTTTGTTGTCAATAATAGAGATAAATATTTGATTGCACATCATCTATTGTATATTGGATATGAGGTAAATATAACACGTATGTTGATATGATCAGTAAGTAATATAATTCTTACACACTGAAATTTCCAGTAATCCCAGTTTAAGATGATACTTTTGAACGTAAAATCAATTGGTTGTCAATTTTTAATTGAGTCGTTAACAGATGAGTAATCTGAACAACTTTGTTTCTTTCTCACTTAGCTATGATTATAATGTATTACGTTTATCAAAATACTCCTCATTATTTGCGTAGTAAAATGATCTGTAATACTTGAAATATTTATGAAAAGCATTCCCTCAAAACATTTTAATTTTCATTTCACTTTCGATTCTAAATCAATTCATCATTATCTTGTGTAATAGTCACTCCTTAAATTGCAAGTATGGTAGTATTTATTAAAATATTTAATTTATTGAATTCATTTGCTTGTATGTAACTGAAAAAGGATGCAATGATATAGCAATGAACTCATTATATTCTGGAAAACCTTGTTAGAAATTAGTCAGACAGACTATCAGTTTGTTTCTCAATTGTATAATAAATGAAAGTGTTTTTCATAATAGTGCTGTTCAACTCCACAAATGACAATTAAATATGACTTATCTAATAAAAGTCAGGAAATGATGTAAGCCACCTAACAAATGGAGATATTGTAACTTTTTCTAATAAAAATCACATACAATATGAAATGACTATGAAAAGCTATTGTGTCTATACCTATGATGCACAAATGTTTTTGAGGTCTTAAATTTATAAACTTGTAATTTTAGACATGTTACTAACTGATTTTTATACAAATGCCTATTGTTTTCTTACACGGAATCTTATACAACAGTTGATAAAATACATATCTCTGAAGCCCAATACTTGACTAAATCCATTCCTTTATTATCCCAAAATATCATGTAAACAACTGTTTCCTTTTGTCTATCAAAATATTTAACTGGCCTGTTTTTAGTCGACCGATTACTATCTTTTTCTTTAGTCATATTAAACTAAATTTATTTAGATGGTAAACGTTTATATTCAATTTATTTAATATTCGATACTAACAATAATCAACAATCCAAACGTCTATAATGGTTCATATTAGAAAAAGTACATGATAAGAATAATTAGACGGTTTCACAAAAGTAATATACGACACTATTTATTTTACGACCTCGAATTTTATCTTTCTTTGATAATTAATTATGTAGCAGGTAAGTCATAGACATATTATATTGGTTGAATACTTTGTATACCTTCGGTTAGTTTAATAATGATCCTATGTCCCACTAAATATTCAGTTAGTGCTTTTAGATATGTTCGTTTGGCGAAATCACCGATAGGTACTTGATTATTTGTGAAATCATATAATTTTAGCCTTATTATGAATCGACTAAAGAGTAAAGATAATTGTACCTCAACTCGGCTCCTGAGAGTTACCCTGTTTGGACAAATACTTTAAAGTCCTGGACTTGATTCCAAGTTATGTTTGACTGCACATTATCGAGAGGTTTCAGATGGGACAAAAAAGCTGTCTATATTTCGAACTAATATCATGACATGTTAAAAACTGTGACCAAATAGCTTAGTTAGTTGCATTTAATACCTTTTTATATGCATCAGTATTTCATCTTGTTCTCATCGGGCCAAATAACGTATTGTTAGGTCCTATCGCTTATCTGTGTTTGGTAGACGGTTGTTTTACCATACATTTTTTGAACATTGCTGAAAAGCTTCGATTGCAAGTAATTGTGGAAAAGATTAGAGAAGATTAGTTCTATCAGAAATAGTCCAGTAATCTCATGGATAAAATAGATTTATGAAGGATTTATGGAGACTATAGATCACAATGATCGAAGTGTACACAACTTCACATTTTCATATTTGAGCTCTTTAATAAATTTACAACAGTACACACATAACTGATAGAAACGAACCGTAGTGTGTAGTACATAATAATTGTCCTGTTCATATTTAATGAATTATTTTTTTTTAAAGTAATCACATTTATTGTATTTGGAAGCTTTTACCTATTTTATGTTCAGGAAATTATCAGTTTAAACTCTAGTTTTAATGAACCGCAAAATGGAATATCATGGTAAAAGTAATGGGAAGTAAGTAGTGATAATGCAGCTTTAAAAAAAGAAAACATATTACTTAGAAGATACCTTGAGGAGTGAAAAAAACATTCTTTCAATTTAATTTAAAACTGAATAATCTGATGAAAATGTATTGAAAATCATATATCACTAACTTATTTTCTGTTCTGAGACAGGTAACGCTTGATCATGAGAAACCAGGAGTCCATCTTGTGTTCAAAAATAGGCTACGATAGAATATTTTAATTTTTACAGAATAACTATTATGTATACTTAACATTTATATGTGTTCGCCCAGTAAAATATTATACATCAAAACTACAAAAATATTGCGACTAAGTAAAATATATAGCTAGATGGTGATCATTAGTTAAGTCTTCTTTACATTATTTTGCAGCCTACAGATGAGGATATGGGCATTTGTGCAGTAGCATAAACAAAAGCAAGGAATAGAAATGAGAACTAAACCTTATTGTTTACACCACGGACTGGTATGAGTTAAACAGTCACTAAAAATATGAACACAACAAATGAATGTTTCGTCTTGGCATACAACTCCTCAGAATTTCACATCAAAAAAACCTTCGGGAATCCAACTCAAGACCTTCAGACCTCCTGAGTAGTGCTCAACCTTCAAACTGCTGAGATGGGATTCAAAGAAAGTCACACAATAATGCAGACTGACTGATTTTAAAGACGAAAAACAGTAGGTGCTAATTCAGTGGTTTGAAGGTTAAACACCCGAGAAAATCTGGTGGTCCTTAATTCAATTCCCAACGGGTTTGTTGGTGTGAACTTCTGAATAGTCACACACTGAGACAAAATAATTATCAAGCGGTCGTCTGGCCACAACTAGTTCATAGCTTAAGCTACAAAATTAAGTAATCTCGGTACACTTCCTAGCACCACAAATCAAGTCATTTAGATGAAAAGAGTACTAGATTATCATAGTTTCATCATCAAACAAGAAAATAAATTACTCGCCTACATTCTATATGACATATTCAACCTATTTTATTTTTTGTTTGTCCTTATCTTTCAGATTACTGAATACAGAATCATCAAATATGACCAGAACAAAAAATATTAGTCCATTCAACAATATATTAATTTGGCTTCAGTCTATGTTATTTATTATGAACAAGAGATAAATTAAAATTGTTCAACTGTTAACAAATTCATAGATCTCTTAGTCAGTGTTCGAGTGATTTCTTAGAGAGAAGTATACAATAATCCGACCTTATTTATAATGAAATTAACAATGATTACTTTTTCAGTTAAAAATAAAGAAGAAAATTTTATTTTCGACGAAATCATTCACTTGAGCTGTTCATTCGTATTTATAGTTGTATGGTAAATACCAATGTACAGCTTAAGTAAATGATTTCGTCAAAAATAAAATTTTCTTCGCTAAATTTTCTTTGTCTTTATTCAATAACACAATGAGTTATTTAATTGATTACATTTTTAATCATATTTTCCCATTGTGGTGTGGTTTACTTATAACCATACAAGTAGTATATGGTGAGGGTCAGACATAGAATGTATTTTGGCAGAAGATCGATAAGGAACGAATCGAAATGAAGTGCAATCGGTAGGAAAATGCATGAACAACGAAATCACGGAAGAAGGACTGATATTTGCAGAAGGAACAGTTAAGATTGAAACAATTGATTGTTATTTTGCAAATTAACTGTTGACTGTATGGTTATCAGAATTTAGTAAGATAGTCTGTAATTTGTGCTTAAATACATTCGATTGTCCCCAGTCATGTTTTGTTCACTACACCATGAATTTCAAAGAAAGGGATCCGTATTTGGGATGCCATTGTCACCTAATTTTAATAATGATGATAGAATAAAATTACCTATAGATTATTAGTTAGAATATTCGTATCTGAAGTTACACTAAACGTTATATTCAACATATACCATTTGAATTTCAGTGATAGACGGAAATGTCAAAAAAGAAAAACTAACAAATAAAAAGATGATTAAGTTTGGCAAAATAATCACTCACTAACTTTTGATCTGTTTGATTTATTGATTTGCTGAGTTGAGAGTTGTTGAGAAAAATTATTCTTAGGTCGATTTTCATAGTCATCTATAGAAAGAAATTTTTTGTCAAACGGTTTTAAAATACTATTTAATAGCATTTAGCATCACACTGGAAGTTTTTTAAAATATACAAATCATATATTCATTAACGACTGGTTTCTCGAGATAATACTAGAGTTTCGTTTAAAAGCGATGACCAGTGAAGTTTAACTATTTTGAGTGTGTAAGAGTTATCCAGAAAATATATTGGAAGATGGTTGTGTGATATTGTGCATTGGTTGAAGTTAAAGATGTAAACTATTGGATGCCAGATCAGTGATCTGGAGGTTATGTCATGACAGTTGGACCGAAGGTTCTAGTTTGGGCCTTCAGGGCTGGAGTGGTGGATGACCACTACTAAGAAGTCCCACACTAAGACGAAACAGCTATGTTTTGCTCCCCGGTTTTCAATCTTATTTTGGCAAAGATCAGTTAGTGATGTAAACTATAGAGTAGGAATAGTTTCGCTGAATAGTTAATGAGTTGAATTTAGGTGATAATCATTTTTTCTTAGCTGGGATAAAGTGAAATCATTATCTCTCATCATTAGAGTTTCTGAAATAAGTTTAACATTTTTTTTCACACTATCAATACACGTGCTAGGCTATAAAGCTGTTGGTATAGACTTAGATTTCAACCATTCATCTAAACGGTGCTTTAGAATCTTTGTCATTATAGCAGAAAACCAAACACTGTATAACGTAATATAATACTTTTTTTCTGATTAGCTTCAGAATCCATCAAATAATCATCTCAAAACTTGACATCTACTAATGATTTGTAATCCAGGAAGGATTCTTTATTTTTTATGAGTGATACTATTCCTGCTACTCAATAGAAGTTAGCATACTTCGATTCTGAGAGTGATTATGAACAACCCTGTAGACGATAACTATCTTCGGCGAAATACTTATTAAAATGGTTACTTTAAAACTGTCATCACAAATGTTCAGTGGAATCAGCTGTATAATGAATGTTTAGTAGGTCGGCCAGTTGTAGACGTTGTTTTTAATTTACTGGAGCTGTAAATATCTTGATTATAAGAATGATTTTTTTGTAGGAAAAATGATATGACAACAGCGTAGACACTGCGACAGATGATACGAAATGTATAAAGTTGGATTTTGGTAGTTACATAGAATGCTGGATAACTTAGGTTTTTCTCTATATTGATATATTTTGAAGAATATAAGGTTTTAACTATTCTAAAAAATGTATGGATATTAGTAAGGAAATTATCTGATATAACATTTTGCAGTAGCACTAAGTAGTGATAAATTAGTGTCCAAGTAGTGTTAACACCGCATTTATGAGTAAAACAACAAATCACATTTTCCCAGTTTAACTAGAGATTTTCCACATTTGTTTGGGATTCGACCAGTAACTTTCGTCACAATCTCATTATTTTTGTTTAAATTATAATCGATAGGTCTGCATCACTTCTTCAGAAGAATAGGCCTCGGAAAGGTGTTTGATATTTACTTTAAAATTCGTAAATGTTTTCGAAACGAACATCTCCAAGGAGTCATTACTCTATTTTACTTGATTTATTTTAATAGAGTCTTCCGATGCGTAGAAACCAAAGTGGTATTTTCTGGCCAATCTTTTCTTTTTTCATTTGGCTATGTAGCATTTAATTGTATTAATTCATTAGCTGACAGTTTGATACAAAGGATAAGGATTTGTCAAACTTGGCTAACAAACTTGTTTCTCGCAAATTTTTGGGTAGTCTATAGTATTGTTTTGTTACGGATCAGTTTGAAAACTTTGCTTCTAATTATTCAAAAGTTACTCATTAATTCACTAATCTGAAAATTGTGATGTCACACGAACCCACCACATCAAAATTACATGTATGAATATTAACATGTTGCTCAGTTAAACGACTTTGGTTATTTCATGGCGTGATGATGGAGTACTGCTTTAAAGATATTACTTATTACGTACTCAAAAGTATACTCTATTAACTTTTAGTCTCAATTACTATACTGTCTCATTTTTGTTTCATATGATTGCTATTTATTATCAGTCACGTTTAATATCACACTGATCTGAATCTAATGTACTCACAGAACTGTCGATTTTCTTTTTCTCTTCTTCTTTTCACTTCCAGGTTTTCCCACACATTCTTGTCTGTACACTTCCTCTGCTCATAATGTACCTTAAAGCTAGACAAAAACCTAATAAAAACTAAAAACTAAACATTTTACCAACTTCAACCAGCTATTAATCTAGACTTTGTTTGATTATCACTGATCGATATCCCTGTTCTATGCTTATTTTCACGGATGAGATGTATCTATGGAAAAGCAATTTATATATGGGTCGTGGCTGTTCATTCTTCAATCCATTGGTATGTTAGGAGGGTATTTATTCACGAGGTTCCTCAAGTATCCGGCTTATTAAAATAGAAAGAAAATAAACTCTTTTTCAAGAGATTTTAACCTCTATTAAATTTCATTTCAGTAACTTCTCAGACAGATTATTTTGTATAATTCAGCACTATCCTTTTGTTGAAGAGTTTGTTTTATAAGGGCTGATCCACTGCTAAATGATGTTCAGATGTTTGAACGAACGATTCACTTTACAATACTTGGTCAATTTAATTATCTTTGAATCCACCAGTATGCTATTTTTAAGAATACAAATACCTGTCATTTTATTTTTCTGAAATTCAAAATTAAGCTGAACTTATTGTCGAATTCATATTCAAGACCTTTTCATCGACATAATTATTGCCATCCCGAACAGAATAGAAAAATGTGCTGTTTATTTGTGAGCTTCATTTTCACTTTTGTTTGATCGTTTATGTTTTAACCCCATTTTGCAGCCGGATAATGTTTAAATTTATTAGTAACATCATTTTAACCGTTCGACTAGCAGTCCAGTCATCTGAATTATATTCAGCTATGATATAGAGGTTCAGTAAACAAGTGTTATTTCAGTCAAATTTGTTTTTTTCCAGCACTTATCGGCTGTTTATTCTGTTATCATAATTACGTATTCCAGTGGTTAGACTGTTGTTATAGTTGAGTGAACTTTGTTCACTGTTTCTAACAAATTGAAAAAAAACATAATCTAGTATCAGATGTTAATGATGTAATCATTGGTCCAAATGTTATTTAGAAAGTCGATGGCATAAATATTTAACACAGAGAGACAACTTGATAGAAATTTTACTTTGACATTAAATGATATGACCTCAGTTTTGGAGGAAATACATGATGCTTCTAGTTTCTGTATTTTATTTACATAAAATGTTTAGTGTGTTCATTGGATAATTTACCTAATATTTCTGTATAATACTCGTGTGATTTTGCTTTGTACTTTCCAAGATCTTTTAGGTAAAAGTATTTTAAATACTCACATCACGTATACAGATAATGCAAATTACATTTAAGAAGTGAGGCTTATAGCTAGGCACTTAAATATGTACATGACTACCAAACTAAACTGTTAAAGGATTGGTTGAAAACCAATTAATTAGTTTGAACTATTCAATCTCCTTTACATCAGACTAAGAAATTTTGTTTGTACGAAAGGTTAAACATTAGCTTGGAATTACCTGGAATATCTGTTAATCCACGAATCTGGTTTAGATGTTTAAATGTACAAACTTCATTAGGTTTATGGATTGGAAAAATTCTGGACAATTTTACAGGAGTACATGACCTATGTCTTTGCCTCCCGTTTGGCACCATCTTCTTATCTATTGAGCAAATGACAAAAGTTGTATTTATTACGAATGATTACAAACCGAAATAAATCTTAATGTTTGTAGATAAAGTAGTCTAACATGCCTTGCAGTAATTATAGCACTTAAATATTGATAAATACTTAGCTTCTACTTGTTCTGCAGAATGAAATCTTTCTTTATGAAACAGTTTACTACGTAACAAATAAAAATGGCGCTTATTTACTTCTTTTATACACAGTATATATGAAAAAAGATACAACTCATTCAAAGTCTACTTTATATTGATAAAGTTGCACCACACTTATGTAGTTTTCTAACTACTTCTGGCAACATCACAAGGTTTTTAGAGCTTGTCAGTGTAGCTGTAAATAATTCCCCAAAATCAATAGCTCATTAAGTGTTCGACATTGGATGCTGACCACGTTGTTTAAGTGAACTTGTTTAGCTGAAGGCTTTCGGTCATGCATCCGTACCAGATCACGTTTCAACTCGGCGTGGGACACTGCTCCTACGTTTCATTAGCCAGCTTATAGTAAAGGTTCCTCGATATATTGGTAACGTATCAAACATATCTTTCCTACCTCTTCTCGTCTGACTTCTGATTTCCTCTGGCCGGGAACGATCGATTATAGAAGATACTACTGGTTGCTAGTTGTAAAACTAGAATATCCGTCGTATCTTCAGTGGTGAGACCGACGTGATCTGGTACACCAAGCGCACAAACTGCGAGTCTGTTCCATTTTGGAATATTATTATTCATTGTTATTCTTCATTTGATTTTTTATATATTGTGATATACTTTTTTTCGCGAGTTGTTTCCCGGATATATTTTAATTAGACATTTTTCGTTATCTATATTACTATGACGGAACACTCTCCTAAGGTTTTTAAGTTAAAGTCTATTTCACCTATTTCGATTCAATTAACTCCTTTCTGGCCTGATAATATCGAGTCCTGGTTCTGCTACGCAGAAGTTGATTTTTGCATGCACGGAATCACGGACTCGCGCACACGATTCCTCGCGGTAGTTAAGGCGTTGCCGCGCGAGTCTAACAGGTACGTAACACCTAGTCTCTCGACCACGAGAGACAGATAACCCCGACTGGTGCTGGTATCATAACCAGTACGGTAAGTTTTCCAGAAATTGCAGGAAGCCCTGCAATTACCCGAAGTCTAAGGCGACTGACACGAATAAGATTTCGGGAAACTTCCCAGCCGGCACGCGTTAACGGCAACCGTAGCCGGCGAACACAGCCGTCTGTTATACGTCACGGATGTGACTACGAAAGTTCGCTACCTCGTCGACACTGGCGCAGAAGTTAACGTTCTTCCAGCAAATCCCGACGACAGACTTCACGAGTCTGTTTTAAGTTTACAGGCGGCAAACGGAAAGCCGATCACTACTTACGGTAAAAGGTACGTCTACCTTAACGTGGGTTTACGCAAACCCATACACTGGATTTTCGTTGTTGCAGATGTCTCTATGCCAGTCATTGGTATAGACCTGTTACAAAACCACAATCTACTCATCGACACACGCTCACGAAGGTTAATAGACGGAAACACTAAGTTATCCGTTTGCGCAACTCCTTGTTCTGGTTGCAGGTTATCCCCAGTCACGATTAAACACACCATAGATCCCTGGTACCAATCAGTACTCGACAAATACCCCGGTATATACCAATCGCAATCGAAATCGCCTTGTATAACCAGCAATGTTATACATCACATCTCGACTACAGGACCACCTGTATTTTCGAAAGCCCGACGACTCGCTCCCGAAAAGCTTAGGTTAGCCAAAAACGAATTCGACCATATGATAGACTTAAGGATAATTCGACCATCAAATAGTCCATGGTCATCCCCATTGCACATGGTCCCTAAAAAGGACAGCAACGATTGGCGGCCAACTGGTGATTATCGGCGACTGAATGCTAAAACCATTCCCGATCGTTACCCGCTGCCTCATATTCACGATTTGACAGCTACCTTGAAAGATAAAGCTGTCTTTTCGAAAATTTACTTAGTTAAGGCTTGTAACCAAATACCGATGGCACCTGACGACGTTCCTAAAACCGCCATCATCACTCCTTTCGGTCTTTACGAATTCTTGCGAATGGCTGTTGGTTTAAGAAATCCGACTCAAGCCTTCCAAAGGTTTATAGACGACGTCTTTCGAGGTCTCAACTTAGTACATGCGTATGTTGATGACTGTCTAATAGCAAGTCCGGACAGAGAATCACATCTCAAGCATCTGGACATTGTTTTCGATCGACTCCAAAGGCATGGCATTACTGTAAACATTCAGAAATGCCAAATCGGAACCAACTCCTTAGACTTCTTAGGACACACTATTGGTGCCCAAGGCATCCGACCCCTTAAGAGCAAAGTGGCGGCCATCCTGGATTATCCAGAACCGACCACGATCAGGCAGTTACGAACTTTTGACGGACTTGTAAGTTTCTACAGACGGTTCATACCCAAATGCGCATCCCTTATGAAACCGTTAACCGACCAACTTCGTCGAAATGCAAAATCAATTAGTTTAGACGACACAGCCCGTAAAGCATTATCGACAGTTAAGGAACACATAGCTAAGGCAACCCTGCTTGCTCATCAGGACACTCAAGCGCCCATTAGTATCGCCGTAGACGCATCCGACTCAGCAATCGGAGGAGTCTTACAACAATGGGTTAACAACTCGTGGCAACCCTTAGGATTTTTCTCGAGACGGTTGCTAGACGCGGAATCTAGGTACAGCACATTCGGTAGGGAACTCCTAGCTATGTATTGTGCTGTACGGCATTTCCAACATTCCATCGAAGGAAGAGAATTCACGCTTTTTACCGATCACAAACCTCTTACCTTCTCCTTAAGTTCATCTTCAGACAAGTACTCACCGCGAGAGTCTCGACAACTCGACTACATTTCGCAGTTTACTTCAGACATACAACATATTTCTGGAGCTAACAATGTAGTCGCAGACGCCTTGTCTCGAATAAGTTCCTTGAACAGTTTCCAAGGAATCGACCTTCTTAAACTCGCTCAGCTTCAAAAAGAAGACATTGATCTTCAGCATGAGTTATCCTCGACAACTCTAAAACTAAGTATTAAGCAGATGGGAACAGGTAAGGAAACCTTACTCTGTGACACATCTACAGGTAGGGATCGTCCAATAGTACCAAAACATTATCGACACAACGTCTTCAATACGTTGCACAATCTTTCTCACCCAGGTTCTCGTGCAACAGTCGAACTTATAGCCGAACGGTTTTGCGGGCCTGGTATTAATAAAAACGTGAGGGAGTGGGCACGCTCCTGTGTAAGCTGTCAGAAATCTAAGGTCATAAGACACAACAAATGTCGCTTAGGCTCTTTCGAAACCCCTGACGCTCGTTTCGACCACGTCCATCTAGATTTGGTAGGACCCTTACCCGACTCAAAAGGATACTCATATCTTCTAACATGCGTAGACCGTTTTACTCGATGGCCAGAAGCAGTATCGATTAAGGACATTACTGCTGAAACAGTGGCTCGCGCCTTCGTCGAACGATGGGTAGCGAATTTCGGCTGCCCTTCAACGATCACTACCGACCGCGGACGCCAGATCGAATACGGACTTTTCCGTTGTCAGACCTCACTTTTAGGAATCACGCGTTTCCGAACGACCGCCTACCACCCACAAGCAAACGGGTTGTTAGAACGTTTTCATCGACAACTAAAAGCTTCATTATCAGCTTCAAACGTTTCAGAGTGGACAGACGCTCTTCCATTAGTCTTGCTAGGTATCCTCAATGCAGTGAAAACTGACATTGGATATACTGCATCTCAACTCGTTTACGGAACGACACTCCGACTCCCAGGAGAATTCGTGGATCCTTCAGCTTCTTCATTGAACATGGATCTAAACTCTTACACGAGTAGGCTTACAAACGCTATGCGTTCAGTTAAACCTGCTCACACTCGACCTCAATCAACTGATGTTTTCGTTCAACCTGAATTAAGACATAGTACGCACGTCTTCGTTCGTCGAGACTCACATCGACGACCTCTCGAATCAGCATACGAAGGACCCTTCAAAGTTCTTCAACGCAAACCTAAGTACAATGTAGTCGATAAGAACGGTACGAACGATAGCATCAGTATCGATCGACTCAAAGCAACGTACTTAGAAGGAAACCCCAGCTACGTCGAATTTCCTTCAGTACAAGCAAACGACACGGATCCTACACTCGTAGTACCCTACACGACAGCCGTTACACAACTTGATACTTCGTCAACGTCGATAGATAAACCTAAAACAACGCGTTCTGGAAGAAGAGTAAGATTTCCAGAACATCTTAACGAATATTGCACGTAGGACACAAGCTTTACCTTGAATTCCTTTTTCAGTGTTTATTATAAAAATAATTTTATTTTTAACATGCTCATTTTTTTTATTTACTTGAAAAAAAACACTTATTTTTTTGAGCGTATTTATATTTTTTATATATAAAAAAACCAAAAAAAAACCTTTTTTTTTGATCGCTTTTACGCTGTTTGTAAGTGCATTAGTTTATTCATTTTTTTTCCCGCTCATCTTGTGCCCTTACGCAATTACGAGTGTATTTTCGACATGCACTCACACGTTTTATTTTTCCTCTTTTCCAGGATGGCTGGAAAAGAACGACGAAGTTTCGCAAGGGACCGAAATTTTCATTGTACTTTATTTCTTTATTGCTACGTTGTACATTTTGGTCCCTTAGTTTAAGGAAAGACGACCAGACGCTGCTAAACGAAGCAAGCTATCAGAAGAGTGTTTACCAACGACAAACTCGTTGGGTTTACACTTCTGGCTGGTCACGTCTTAGGGGCATTACTACCTCACTAAAGGGGGGAGTGATCTGTAGCTGTAAATAATTCCCCAAAATCAATAGCTCATTAAGTGTTCGACATTGGATGCTGACCACGTTGTTTAAGTGAACTTGTTTAGCTGAAGGCTTTCGGTCATGCATCCGTACCAGATCACGTTTCAACTCGGCGTGGGACACTGCTCCTACGTTTCATTAGCCAGCTTATAGTAAAGGTTCCTCGATATATTGGTAACGTATCAAACATATCTTTCCTACCTCTTCTCGTCTGACTTCTGATTTCCTCTGGCCGGGAACGATCGATTATAGAAGATACTACTGGTTGCTAGTTGTAAAACTAGAATATCCGTCGTATCTTCATCAGAAATGTTAATGTAACTGTTTAATTGAACTCTGAATAGTTTTACGTCCAGCCCGACCTCTAATTCATTTACGACGAATTAGCTAGTGAAACGCCATAATGTTTTAAATTTTCGGTTCAAATTGTTAATTATCTAGCTTTTTGCACACAAAATGTCTTAGTCATTGAATAAAGACAGTGATTTTATATTCCTGTTCTCAAAAATGACTTACAATATCACTTGATATGTTGTAGCTTATACTCAGACTTTGGTATAAGTCTTCTATGTGATATAGACCACTTATGGGAATAGACAGAGGACAAACTGTGGTGATACATCGAAAATTGTATGATGTGTTTTTTAAGACTGACGTTTACCGAATATCTTGATATGATATCTAACGGTGCCCTTAACTGGTCTCTTGAAATAACCTTACGTATTTTGAGCTTTCGCCTATGTTTTTTTTCACATGGACAAACCTGCTGATAGGGAATGGAATGTCCGGAAGGAATACATTATTTTGGAGAGTATTTCCCAATCTTAAATAACACCGACGACGATCAGCTTGGAATATTTGAGACGACGGTCAACGTAATTTTCAAAGCACATGCTAACAGGAAAAACATTACTTTAAAACTCATTAAGTTTTTTATTCTCACTAGCATTTTCAGCCCTTTGACGTAGTGACTTTGAAAAGTAAATGAACTTGTGTAGGAGTATTTAAGATACGAAAAACTCGAACTAGGTGGTCAGCAAATAAAACCATATTAAATGGAGAGAAAATTGAGTCTCACTTGGGTCAGGTGCTTTTTTATTCTGTGTTAATTCGTCATCCATACAACTACCATGATTAATCTGGTGAACGTTCTTTTTTAGCAAATTGTTCTTAGAGTTACTTATAAAAGACTTGAGATAAAGTAATCAAAAATCGTAAAACAATACTTCGTTTTTGGTGTTTCTCCCAATCCACATAGGAATAAGAAGTGAATGATGGAATTTTCAAGTAGACACATAGGTTTAAAAAGCCTTATACTCGTTGTCACAACAACTATGAATAATCGAATAATTAAACAAATGTCGCAATGTTTTTATGCATTAAAGATTACTGAGCAGGACTATTTCCTGTCAAGCAAACAAGGATAACTTTTTTTAACTTTTTGGAGAATACGAGCTTTATACGTAGGTTTCTGTTTACATAGTTCAAAGAAGTCGACTATACAAAAGAAAAGCTATTTGACGAGATTATTTCACGAGACCAGTTTCAATATATTTCATTAGTATGAAATTGCCTGAATTAGCAATTAAAAGTTTTCTAATGATCATATTTCTTCACCTACCTCGGTCCATTTCTTTGCCTAAAAATAGTAAAATTACTTGATGTACCATTATCTGAGCATATTGATATTAACTTACCTAAAACGTTGTACGCAGACGATAGGTATTAACTCAGAATATTGTTGACGAAGAAGGGTACAGTATTAGCGGTTAGAAACCAGTGCATATTTTTGCTTGAATACATTTAACAATTTGGAAACTTATCGAATCTTCTCACTTATTCCATTGAATAGCAAGAGGTGGCGTAAATGATTATATGTAGACTTCCACTTAGTCACGCTTATCAACGCTTATCGACTTAAATTATGGATATTAGACTAACACTTGATCTCAGGCTATTAATCATCGTTAAGCTACCTATCTTCTCTGTGGCCAACTCTTCTGTAGTGCCTTGATGAAGGATAACCTAGGTCTGTTTTGAAAAGGACTTCGATACAAGGGGTAACTGTTTGAGAGATCTAGTTAGAGCTAAAGATATGATTTGTAACGACAATTACTATGTATGTTGAATCTTGAGGTGCTATGCATCACATATCTGAAGGTACAAATTCTGAAGACGGGTAAACATCGCTCCATTCAGATATTTTGCTGGCCAATTCACTTGGATGATGTATTACACTGACAGTATCATACTGACTCATATGTCTTGAAGAAGCCACAGGTATTTTAGTTCGACAATATTTTAACAGTAACACCTTCTATGACTGAATCGTGCTCACGCCGTGAAATCAAAAGTCAGAAGCGAGGAGGTTCGAAGGTATATTTGAAAGATTATCAATATATCGGGAAGTGACTGATCTGAACTGGTTTGCGATTGCAGGAGAAAATGAGCACGGCGTTCATACTCGTGATATGGTATGTATGCATGACTGAGCGCCTTTAGCTAAGTGAGTCCATTAAAACTAATGTGATCAGTATCCAAGGTGGAAGACTTACAGAGCTATTGATTTTGGGGATTTATTTACCGCTACAGTCTAGTACGTTTTTGTGGTGATTAAAAGCATTAGAATTAATTAAAGCCAATTAGGTATCCAAGACATTCGTTAGTAGATACAAAAAATGAACGCTTATTTGGATTCACTGTAATATTCTCAATAAAACGATGAAATAAAGCAATAAGTCTCTGGTCATGAACTGCCTTATCAGTACCATGAACAATGAGATTGAAGATACGACTAATATTGTAGTTTTACAACTTTAAACCAGTAACACCTTTATTCGAATCGTACCACAATCGGTTAAAATCGGAAGTCAGATGTGAAGAGACTGGAAAGATATATTTGATCCGCGGAAACCAGAACTACTCGGAAACCATACTTATATGCTGATGATCTCAAAATAGTATACAGCTATAAGCCTGAGGTTCTAAGTGAAAGTGTACGCCTGATTCAAGATGATCTCAATAACCTAATTATCTGGAGCGAATAGTGGCAATTACCATTTAACCTCCACAAATGCGGGATCATGCACTTTGGAAAGCACCCCTATGAACCCCAACTTTACTTAAATAAAAGTAAAGTCCAGACACTGAATTCAGTACACGATCTAGGAATAAATTACACAGGAAACCTAAACTTTAAAGCACAAGCCTCCTTTATTATTTCTAAAGCCAGACGTCTAATTGGCTTCATGACAAAAAATTTCTTCACGACAGATGCCAAGCTTACCCTCTACAAAATATGTGTACGACCTTCCCTAGAATACTGCTCTTTTATCTTCTCTAATATGAATACCACTGACAAAATAAGAGTAGAAGATGTTCAAAGACGCTTTACACGCCAACTGCTAGGAAGTGACACCACTCTTGATTACACAAGTAGATGTAAGCACCTCTATTTGGAACCTTTATGGCACCGTAGGTTAAGGAACAATCTGATATTTCTCTACAAAGCAATAAATGGACTGTCATTCCTAACCTCCTGTCCAACTATGATCAATGACCCAGCCTATAAACTAAGAAACAATGCATATACACTATTTAGCGAAAAACACCAAAAACAAATTCGTTGTAGGTTTTTTACAGTTCGGTATAGTTTATTGTGAAACAGGTTGCCAATACCTATCCGTAACTGTGACACCTTTACCAAATTTAAAAGGCTAATGACCCTGTTACTAAACTCTAAAGAACTTCACCAACCATTCCTTGAACTCCCGCCTACCAATGAGGCACTTTATTATGGACCGCCCAATATCTAGACGGAACAAAAATATAACGAACTCCATTGTCGTTAGTATGAATATAGCAAAACTAAAGAAAACATGCTTTATCCTTCCCCATTATTTATTGATTATTAACCATGGCCTTCCGCTCCTAACCCTCATTTTCAGTTTCCGAATCTCTCTAATGGATAATTCCAAATTATTCTTCCTAAGTGTCATGTCCTTTTATTTTTCTTATTACAAGTAGACAGATAACTCACTAATCTTATGGATGCTGACCAACTAAGGCCGATCAAAAGAAGCTCATACGTCCTAAATTCTTGTGAGTTGTTCAATGTTTTATTTTTTTTTACCCTGAAAATTTTACAATATTTACTATCATATTCTCTGGTTTGCTATTAGCCCTTACCATCTCTTAACCACATGTAATCTGACTTGTCTCTTCTAACCCTTACCATTAGTTATCTTCATAGTAGTACGATATATTAAATGGATATCTAACCCATAATACAAATGCTATTACCATCTGATTTGCTTGTAACATGGAACTTGTAGAGACAGTGTATTCCAAATAAGGTCCTTGATAAAAGCAATATTCATACCGACCACAAACGTAAGAGAGCCTGACATCATAAAAGGAGGGAGGGTGGCGTTACTGACCAGCAAACATGATGGTGGGGAGATAACTTCAATCCACCCGTGTCTGTGGGGCAGAACATATTAATTACGGCTCCTTATGTCTAGTGGGATGTCACGAACCAACGGTATTGATACGAAATTATTCATGTAAAATACCACTTTGATCATGTTAAAAAAAGCTGAATTGGTTCCGCTTCCTACCAAGTAATCCTAATACAAGCGAACTAGACAATTGGCTAAAAACGAAGCCCACTCTATACACTATAAAATCTGAAAACAAAAAAGAGAGTTCAAACAGCTTCTAAAGTAAAGAGAGATAGTCATTTGTATCGGAATACTGTTTTCAGCACTTTATTTTATAATTACACAATTCCATACTTCCTTCTAAACTACCTTCATTTATACAGTTCCTTATCCACTCATACCTTGCCCACACTTATTTTTCTTTAACACATTAGTATGTTCTTACCTAATAAATACTTCAGTAAAGGACAAATAGACTAAATGGTTATACCTTAACTATTCCTCCATGAATATTGTGTGCTCTGCTTTTCGTCCTTCCTTTTTCTTACACCTTTTTCAGCCTCCTGCAGATACTCCACCGAAAACAGATATGGCACGGGTGACTTCGTTCTACACCGTTATTAATGCTTCCGATATTCTGGAGGGATATAAGTTCGAAACTTCTAAAAGCCCCCAACTTCGCATGTATCTATTCTCGACCATCAGTTGTATGTTGCAACGCTACCTCCATAAAGTGCGCCAAGTGTGATATTGATATTGACATGTTTCTTATGAAATCCATTTACATTCATATCTTATGAAATATCAACCCAGCTGAATAATTTTCAACAGTGAAAATTGTAACTTCTTTAACAATTTGATCTTGCCTGTAAACCGGCATGCCTCATGTAACAATCTGTTATTTGACAATAAATTATTATTATTATTATTACTTTTATCATTATTAGTAAATAACTTGCAATAAAATTGTTAAACGGAAGCAAAGCGCATTGGATGCAAATGTGCTGACAAAATGTGATTAACGTTCTGTCCTGGCTATTGGCAACAAGATAATTTTAAATCCTTAAGAGTGAAGAAATAATAGATGAGCATGAATTAAGAAATCCATTCCAACGTTAAGTTAAATTTAGTCGTTACTGAAAGCATTATTTCACAAATAAGTGAAATAAAGTTATTATGAACTTGGCAGACTACATAATAACTAGTAAGAATGTTGAGAAGTCGTGTTAAATGGTTGATTACCTTTTATAAGCTAAAAAAACTTGTGAAAAGATAAATATTAACAATAGTTATTTAATAATAAGGAGATAACAGGTTTCGGTTAAATTATGTTACCCTTTTCTAATCTATATAGTATCCAAAGACAATGACTGAAAGCTAATGGCAAATGAACAATTTTGCACTAATTATGCTTCTCTTCAAAATACATCGATTGGAAGTTTATTTAACTAGAATCTATATATCTTTCAAGAGTTTGGTTTGAAACCTTTCTATCATGAATGATTGATAATAACTAAGACATCACCAGAAACTAGGAAGCATTGAATATATCGAACTTATAGGAAGTGCGCTTACGGGACCTAACCAGGGATTAAAACAGTCGTTCAATTCTCTCTAGTTTTCGATATTTTCTCAGTTCAAAAAACAACTGTCAGTTTTTATATAATTTGGTAGTTTTAAAGTTTTTCACTATTTAGATGCTACGATGGGACTTTTAAATTTAACGAATAGTTCCAAGCAGAATTTCATTTGTTCGGCTTCAAAAAGTCGTTGTTGATGAATGCAAAGGTCTTATTGAATCATATGGTTTTATATCCAGTACTTTCAATGTTGTTTCACGATTTATTTAATATGCCAGAGAGTATTA